TTTCCTGCTGCCACCGCCGCCCCCTGCGAGTCTGGGCGCTCCGCCTCCCACTTGCCACCCTCCCCCCCCCCGCAGCGCTGGGCGGGCCTCCGCGCCTGGGCGGCCTGCGTGGCCCCCAGGCGGCGGGTTTACAGGGTGCAGGAGTCTCAAAGGCGCACGCTGCTCGCCCCGCCGTGCCTCAGTTTCCCGGGCAGGAAGCCCGCCCCGCGTGTGCCCCGGGACGCTTCCTCTGACCAGGCGGTGCCCGCTGCCCAACTTGTCCGAAGTGCAGGAGCGGAGTCCCGGCGTGTCACCCGAGGGCTGGCCCGACGTCTTCTTGGACAGGTGGGGGGACTAAGGCGCAGAGGGGGACGTGTCCAAGAAGCCGCCGTTACCAGCAAAGCCTGATGGAGCCAAGTCCTCTGAAAAGGGAAAAGTTATGTTCCTGGAGCGCGGGTTTGAGGTCCTCAGAGCAGCAATAAAAACGCGGGCCCTGGTGGCTCCTTATTCCTGTGGGTATTCCTGACCCCCAAGTAGATCCACTGGGGGCCGGGTGGGCGGGCACCACCTCCCAGGTAAGAGGTTTCATTTTCTGCACAGCAGCTCAGAGTGATCCCAAGGCAAATGCCAGGCCAGTCACTTCCCTGCTTAAACCCTCGTCAACTAAGACCATCCAAACCTGTGGAGAATGTTTATAAAAATTAACTGGAGTCAAATAGAGGATACGCCTGGAGGCGGGATTTTAACAGACAAATGCTTCCAAGAAAATGACAGTTTGCAGCTTCTTTTATGCATTTGGAATTCGGGAGGAAACCTAAGGAAGATGACCTGAAGGTGGGAGGAAGCAGGGCGAGGATGGGTTACAGGACAGTTAAGATCGGGTGCTGTCCTGCTAGGCTGGCGTGGCTCAGAGGTCCAATGTTGACCTATGAACCCAGAGGTCACGGTTCCATTCCCAGTCAGGGCACATGCGGGGGCTGCGGGCTTGATCTCCAGTGTGGGGCGTGCAGGAGGCAGCCGATCAATGGTTCTCTCATCATTGATGTTTCTATCTCTCTCTCCCTCTCTTTTCCTCTCTGAAATCAATAAAAATATTTAAGAAAACAAATAAGTATCACATGCTCTCTTGAGGTTGATCTCGCTCTAGGAGGGGTGCACAGAGACAAGGGACGGGCTTGCTTACGGCAAAGAGAAGCCTTTTACTAAGGTTACACGCCTGGTGCATGACTGCCCTCCATGACGTGCCTCGCTGAGAATTTATGATCAGATCACCCTTGGAGATTACTTTCCATAGAACCCTTTTTTGTCCACACCCTCCATGCTGACCCTGGACCTAGACTGACACTGACTCCCTGCACCGCCTTCCTGCACGGTTCCCTGGAACTGGCGTGGGGGCCTTTCCACCCCGTTCTCTGGCTGCCCGAGCTTCCTGGAGTGGACAGGGCCTCACCTTGAACTTCTCAGTGCTCACCCTTCCCATCTCTGCTCAGTCACCTCTTCCTGGAGGCTGAGTGGTTTATTTGTACAATTAAGTCTGAGGAGCACAGCTGTAAAGAAGTATACTAGAATAAGATATTCTTATTTTAAATTCTTTTCATTTTTATCTACAAAAGCAATCCGTGTTTATAACAACTTTGAACAATAGAGATACTTTTTTAAAAGTTGCCCGCAATCCCCTTACTCAGAGGTAATTATTATTAAACATTATTACAGCCTTAGGGATTCAGTAATACTTGTTAATGAACAACACGATGACTCATAAACTGAGTAATTTGCTGACAACATTTCTAGAGCAGTGGTTCTCAAAGTGGGTCCTGGAACCAGCAGCGTCAGTATCACCTGGAACTGGTCCGGTCCGTGGTTCCAAATGCCTTAGGATTCCTCGGGAGCACATGGCTGGGAACCCACCCCCCCCCAGAGTTTCGACTCAGCAGCTGCTCTAGGGGGGGCCCAGGAATGTGCATCCCTAACAAGTTGCCCGGTGGTGCCGATGCTGCTGGCTCAGGAGCCACACTTGGGAGCCACCGGTCTAGAGCCCGAGTGCCATGCTTCCTTCGAGCACGGCGGCAGTGAGGACATCTATCGGAGTGGAAGGCTGTGGCCCACTTCGCCTGAACCCCGAGTTCTGGGGGTGTAGCTGATAAAGCACTGGGGACACAAAGTCTACAAGCCCAGGGCCAGCTTCCCGTGCATCCAGTGCTGACAGCTGGTAAGCCTGTGCAGCAGCCACATGCTCCAGCCAGGGCCTCCTGCAAGTCAGCCTTCTCTTTGCATCCTAGTTGGGCAGTTGCCAACTCTTTGGTCCCCTCCTGCCTCCAGGCCCATCTTGGCCTGCCTGGAGTGCAGGAGGAAGGATTTGGGCAAGAATGAAGTAGGTAAGTACATGAGTGTTGGAATCTTGGAGCGGTCGGTGGCTCTTCAGATTACTGAGGGAAATGGGAAGGCGTCAGCTGAGAGTGAAGCCAGGAGAGTAGCTGGTGGGGCTTGGCCATCTGGGGAGTAAGAGCCCACCGCCTAGAAAGCATGTGTGATGGAAGCACGAAGGCTCCCACTTGCTCCCACCCTCCACCGAGATTCTGGGCATAAATTTCAACGAGGCCAGCCAGCACGGTGGCATGGTTTTCCGCAGATGTGGGTGTGTGGTGGGTGGTGAGTTGGGTCTAACCAGGGCTGGCTTTTGCCAATGAATGCAATGTAACTAGAGTGAGCAAGGGGGTTGCCACTTCTCCTGCCTACAACCTTGATATCCATGGGACTCCCTGGCTTATAACCTTCAGATCTGCACTCAAAGGTCACCTCTCCAGAAAGTCCCCTCTCTCCATCCCTGTCCTCCTCTGACACCACAGTGGACATCTGTCTCCTCACTAGAATGCAAGCCTCTGGCCATGGATCGCCGACCACACTGTTCATTGCTATACCCCAGGAACCTAGAACAGCACTTGGCACATGGCAGGCCCCTCAGAATGCTTGGTGAATGAATGAATGAGTCACAGCAGAAAAGGGAGTACAAGTGTTACCATCTGTAAGTGGAAAGAATTAACTGGACTGAAAGATGACTCAGATTTGGAGAAACAAAGAAAGGATACAAAGCTATGTTACTACTCTAATAGCTCTGTATGTCACTGCCAACCTGTAGATCTTGTTACCTTGTACTAAATATTCCATCTACCTCATAGATCTTCTATATAGCTAGTCAAGAGGATGACTACATATAAATACCTGTACATTTGAATGTATAAAGGATATTTGAAGAACAGCTGTTTGCACGCAGACATATACTAATATGTTTTGCATATAGGTGTGCATAAAGAATTGTTGACCAAAGGGCATTTGAAAAACCCTAATGCAATAGACCGTAGGCAGTAAACTGTGCTCAAACAGCCTGTGAGTTACCAGGAGCCCACGAGGCAGGGGCCCTGTCTCTGGACAGAGCCCTGCTTATTTTGCAGTTAACTGAAAGGGCCTTTCTGTCCCTTTTGCTGGCGATGGGGAATGTCCCCGCACACAATGCTGTGTGTGTCCTGCGGCTGGAGAGCCAGCTCAGGGAGAGCTCTGAAAAGGATCTTTATACTTCAGCTGCGCAGATGGATGAAGAATTAAGAACCCAGGTTCCTCTGGGCTCTTTCCACCCCACTGATGCCTGGAGCGGGCCAGGAAACCGTGGCCCCTCCAAATCTGCTTCCTGAGCCTTGGGCTGCTCTGCCCCGAGTTCCACTGTGAATTGCCCCGTGAATGGTGGCAAGCAGCTTCGATGGAGGGCCTTTCCTGATGCTCATAGTGAGGCTTTGTGTCCTGACTGTCTGCCCTGAAAAGCTGCCCAGCCAGACCCAGATACCAGGACCGTGACCTTGCCCTGCGTGTGCCGCCTGTGCCAGGCAGCTGTGCCTACTCTCCCCAGCCTCCGCCCTGCTGCGGCCTCCGCCACACAGGAAGACCCAGGTGGAGGCATGTGCCTAGCCACAGGCCCCACGTGGCTCCCCGCACACCCACGGTGGGGGGTAGGGGGGATGCCCGCTGGCCCCGCCCAGCCCCTCCGGGGACACAGGGACTGGAGTACTGATTTCTGAATCAGCTGCTGTCTGCTTACTCTTTTTTTTCTAAATAAGCGAGACATGTATATGGCTTCAAATTCAAAGGTGCAAACAAGCACAGGGAGAAAGGAAAATGTCTCCCACCTCTGAGCCTCAGGCAACCAGTGACCCCGTCAGAGACAACACCATTGTATCACCAAAGTGCACAGGCATGTGAATTCTTTGTGTGTTTTAATAGATTTCAGAGAGGAAGGGAGAGGGAGAAATAGAAACATCAATGATGAGAGAGAATCATTGGCTGCCTCCTGCATGCCCCACATTGGGGATCGAGCCCACAACCCGGGCATGTGCCCTGACCAGGAATCAAACTGAGAACTCCTGGTTCCTAGTTGACCTCAACCAGCTGAGCCAAACCATCTACCAGTAGGGCCATGTGTGTGTGTGTGTGTATGTGTGTGTGTGTGTGTGTGTGTGTGTGTATACACACTTTAACACAGAACGTGAGACTGCACTGCCCCTTGCTTTTTACTCTTACCCTTGGAAATCTTTGCACACCATTTCAAATGTGCTGCCTCCGCTAACATTTCGGGTGAGTCATGCAGTTTGTAACCAGTCTCCCGCTCACGGTCTTTGTGTCCACGCTTTGGCTATTACACCTTGGCAATGGACAGCTTGGAAACCCTTTCACACCTGTGCGAGCCGCACACCCACGAGGCACGCGTAGTCTCGAGAATCCCACCAGGCTGCAGAAACGACGGGCTGTCTGGACCTCACCTACACCGAGGATGTCCGCCTTGCTTTCCCCTGGTTCCCATCCCACTGCGGGCAGCGTTTCAGGCCGCTGATGGGTCATAGCAAGAACAAGAACAGGCGTGGTCGCCCACACGTCACAGCACCCACTGTGCTCAGCACCCGCTGTGCCCAGCACCACCCTCTACACGCGACATATGTGAGAGGAGGATGTGACGTATGTGTCCGCGGGCTTTGCAGACTGGAGGTCATGGGCCGGGCAGTTTCAGGGCGGGGAGAGGGTGCGACTTCCCCGGTCTCCTGGGATGGGGGGCTGGACCTAGTTTCGTTGGGTGATAAAGATGTCAGAGGGGACATCTGTGCTGCCTGTATAAAGCAACATCAAACAGAATAAAAGTGCCTGTGACATTTCCATTAGTCAACATGGTTGGGGTGTGAACTGTGAAAGAGGCACCTCAGGGTTTGAGGGCGGCCTGAGGACACCTCAGGGGCTGGAGAACCTGACCCGAGGAGGTTCCCATACCTGGGAGAGCGGCCACCACCTGGAGAGAGGGAGCCCTGCGGGCAGGAAGGAAGGCTGCCCTGTGTATTTTTGTCCCTGATTTCACAACTGCTGACGGCCTTCCCACCAGCTCTTCTTCTTTAAGCCTCAACCATTTAGGAGAGAAAACGTAGCCCTGAGGCCAATGCTGTGTGTCAAGCTCCTCAGTTTGGCTCAGCCAGTCTACTGGGAGCTCAAAGGGGGAAATGCTGAGAAGTAGGGAATACTCTAATCTCCATCCTACGTATATAAAAAAAGGTGGAAAGGATTTGCTCTGCCCGGTGGAGCATAGACACAGCAGGCAGCCAAGGGGTGCGGCCACATCTGAAGGCTGGTTGGAGCCACTATTTTTTTCTTGTCAAAATAAATGGGCCTTTTGTGTTGAAAATGATTTCATGGTTTGATTGCCTCTAAAGCAGCGGTTCTCAACCTGTGGGTCGCGACCCCTTTGGCGGTCGAATGACCCTTTCACAGGGGTCACCTAAGACCATTCTGCATATCAGATATTTACATGACGATTCATAACAGTAGCAACATTACAGTTATGAAGTAGCAACGAAAATAATTGTATGGGGGGTCACAACATGAGGAACTGTATTTAAAGGGCCAGAAGGTTGAGAACCATTCTCTAAAGACATCCAACCCTCATCGACGTTCAAGTGCCACTGAAACCCCTGTGGGCTGGCCGTCCTGGGTGACCTTCCAGGGAGGCCCGGGTGGGGACTCCTGCCTCCCTCCTGCAGCCCCACCTACTTGAGAACTGACCTGGCTGGGGTCCCTCAGGCCCCAGGCTTCCTACCCACAGGGGCAGGGCTGGGAAAGGACCACTGGCCCTCTGGGCCCCCGAGGGCCTTGTGATCAGAGGACAACTGCCTGATGCCCGGATGTCACCCTCCAAACCCAGGTGTGCTGAGGCCACACCTCCCACGGCTGCTCCCAGCCCACGCTGACCGTGGCGGGGACACTAAGGCAGGCCGGTCCTGGGATGTGGGGGCTCCCTGACCCGCACCTTGATCAGGGCGCTGCTTTAGACAGCTGTCTAAGACCTTCCTTCCTTCTCTCCTTCCCAGGGGTGGACCTACATCTCAGTCTGAGGGCTCTCCAAGCCTCCTCCCCCCACCCCCCTCCTGCACAGGCACTTTCTCCAATAGACCTCCTGCACACCTGCCTCATCTCCGCGAGGACTCAATGGACACAGCTGGAACTGACGGGAGTGCCACAAACAGCTCCAGTGTTTATTGCCTAGAGGCCAAGGTCAGTCTTACTCACAGTCTGGGCCAGGGGTGGGGCCTCAGGCCCACAGCCATATAAGGCCCGTGAAATCCTTTAGTCTGGCCCTGCCAAGGCATTAGGGGTGAGCTAATGAAGTGTTTGACCAAACATAGCAGGCTAATTTTTTATTGTTGTTGTTAATCCTAACCAAAGGATATTTTCCCACTGATTTTTTTTTTTTTTTTTTTTAAAGAGAGAGTAGAAGGGAGGGGGAGAGACAGAGAGAGAAACATCGATGTGAGAAAGACAAATCGACTGGTTGCCTCCCACACCCGTCCGGACCCACTGGGACCAGGCCTGGGGGTTGAGCCTGCAACTCAGGTACATGTGCTTGACTGGAATCAAACTCGGGACCCTTCAGTCCATGGGCTGACGCTCTATCCACGGAGCCAAACCGGCTAGGGCTAAGTTTTAAGTTGATGACTTTGTATGGCCCACGAATAATGTTATAAATGTCCAAATGGCCCTTGGGAGAAAAAAGTTTCCCCATCGCTGATCTATGCCAATGCCTGTCCATAATCGGGGTGCAGAGACACAAGTTCTCTCGCGGGAGGGCACACTGCATCCCCAGGAGCCTGCCGCAGGGGCTCACACTGAGCCCAGCCTGTAATCCACGTCCCCCCACTAACCACGTGTCCCCATTATGGGTGCCTCCACGAGCTGGCAATTCCCACATTCCCAAGTGAGAGGTGACACATGACTTCACTCTGAAAAGTGAAGCCCCCAAGTCCAGTTCCTCTTCGTGTTTGGGGTGGAGAACATGACGTTGTTGACCTTAACCAGGGCTTCTGGGTGCCATGAGATTAGAGAAAAAGAGGCAAAAAACAGAAGCAAACCCACAGATAACCCACATGTTGGGATCAGCAGTCAAGGGATTTAAAAAATAACTATTTAAATATGATGAGGAATTTATAGAAAAGGATAGACAAATATAGTAAAATATGGAGTAATTCAACAGAAAAATAAAAACTTTAAAAAAAACAATGGAAAAATTTCAATCGAAGTATAGAGTATCTGAATTGAAGAATTCATTGCGTAAGTTCAACAGTAGACTGGACACAGGAGAAGAAAGAATCGGTGAACTCAAAAGCATGCCAGTAAACATACAATTATCACATGACCCAGGATTCGCACTGTTGGCATTTATCCCAGAGAAATAAAAACCTATGTTTACACAAAACGCGCACACGCATGTTCACAGCAGCTTCATTGACAATAGCCCCGACTGGAAACCACTGAGCTGTGCTTTAAAGGGTGGATGGCTATACAAACTACAGCATGTGCATACCCTGGATACACCTCAGTAATAAAACGGAATGAACTATTGACAAATGTAACAGCTTGGATGAATTTCAAGGGAATTGTGTTGAGTAAGAAAAGCCAATCCCAAAGGTTACATACCATATGATTCCATTTACATAACATTCTTGAAATGACACATTTATAGAGATGAAGAACAGATTAGTGGTTTTCGGGGCTCAGGGCTGGGCTCAGCAGGAGAGATCCTATTAGCGATGGAAGTATTTGGTATATATATATATTGATTTCAAAAATAAAGGGAGAGGGAGAGATAGAAACATCAATGCTGAGAATCATTGATCGGCTGCCTTCTGCACGCCCCACACTGGGGATTGAGCCCGCAGCCCGGGCATGTGCCCTGACTGGGAATCAAACCGAGACCTTCTGGTTCATAGGTCGATGCTCTACCACTGAGCCACGCCAGCTGGGCCAGGAGGGGATCTTGTTGTAAGTTCAGTCCTATTTGTATCTCGTCTGTGAAGTGGCACAACATTAACTCAAGGAAGACTGTTATCAGTTAAGGTTGCATGTTGTAATATCTAATAACCACTAAAAATAATACAAGAGGCATAATAAACATACCTGTTCAATACTCATGACAACTGGGTAGAATGGGCATTACCACTCCATTTTGCAGATAAAGAAACTGAGGCTTGGAGATGCCAAAGCTCCAAATTTTTGGAGCCCCCAAGTCCAATGCCCCCTCCATCATTCCAAGAGACAGTAAACTTTCTCTGTTCAGGGCCAGTCTCGCAGGGGAAGGAGAGTGGGGAGAGTTGGGGACCAACAAACAAACATTTGGAGTTAAAATCGGTCATTTATACACTGACACAAAGTCGGTCTGCGATTTCACACATCTCATGGGTGAGGCTGGAGTCTAGGACAGAAGGCAGGGCGGCCACGGGCAGGGTAGGGATGCATGAGTCTGCAACTGCCAGCTGTGCTGCAGCCACAACCAGCAGCTCTCGCAGAGTTAGAAGGTAGACAGTTGTCACTGGGGAGATGTCTGTAAACCCAGGTGTTAGCAGACAACTGCGACATTTAGAAGACAGATAAGATAGAGTCTCTATCACAACTAGGCAACTATGCAAAAACAGCCACAGACAATTCATAAGTAATTTAGCATGGCAGTGTGCCAATAAAACTTTATTTACAAACACAGGTGGTGAGCCAGATGTTTGGGCCACGGTTTGCCAGTCTCTGCTATTATTCCACCATCCAGTGGTTTTTAGTTCTGGCCCAGAAAGGGTCATTCTGTCCACCTTGAACTGAGCCTTAGGCACTTCCCTGACAAACAGCTGTGACTTAGATTAATTCTCAAGACTAATTTGCTTCCCACAACTCCCCACTTACATGGCTGTGAGGCTTATCCTATCAGACAAAAGTAAGTGACAATCCCGGCCGGCATGGCTCAGTGATTGAGCATCAACCTATGAACCAGGAGGTTACCATTCAATTCCCGGTCAGGCACATGCCTGGGTTGTGGACTCCATCCCCAGTGTGGGGTGTGCAGAAGGCAGCCGATCAATGATTCTCTTTCACCATTGATGTTCCTATCTCTCTCTCCCTCTCCCTTCCGCTCTGAAATCAATAAAAAATACATAATTAATTAATTAAATGACCAAGTGCCCCCCCCCCCCCAAAGCAGACCTTTGACTGTGGTGTGTGTGTGTGCTATGTGTTTTTTGTGTGTGGTGTCTGGGTGTGTGTTGCATGTGTGTGGTGTGGTTGTGTTCTATGCTGTGTGCGTATGTGTGTATGTGAACATGTGTTGTAGGTGTGGTGTATGTGGTGCATGTGTATGCGATGTGTTTTGTGTATGTGGTGTCGGATGTGTGTGTGGTGTGATATGTTTGCGTTCTATGTTTTGTGTGTGTGTGTATGTGAACATGTGTTGTGGGTGGTGTGTGTGTGGATGCGTGTCGAGGTGGAGTGGGGGTGAGGTGTAAGTCGCCAGGACAAATTCACAGTGCAGCATTTAGGGATGTGTCACGTGTCCACCCTGTCAACAGCCGTGACCCTCGGGAAGCAGGAATCTGAGGAATTTCCCAGGTTGTCTGAGGGCATCTGGGAAGCATGCCTTTCTCTACCTTTCAAAATGCCCCACACCCTCCAAACCAAAAAAACAACAACACTCCAAACCCACTCCAAAAGCCAACATGTGAGTCTCGCGGAGGAAGGAGAGTGGGGAGAGTTGGGGACCAACAAACAAACGTTTGGAGTTAAAATTGGTCATTTATACACTGACACAAAGTTGGTCTGCGATTTCACACAGCTCATGGGTGAGGCTGGAGTCTAGGACAGAAGGCAGGGCGGCCACGGGCAGGGTAGGGATGCATGAGTCTGCAACTGCCAGCCATGCTGCAGCCACAACCAGCAGCTCTCACTGAGTTAGAAGGTAGACAGTTGTCACTGGGGAGATGTCTGTAAACCCAGGCGTTAGCAGACAACTGCGACATTTAGAAGATAAGATACACACTGACAATCAAGAGTTTGGAAATAAGGACTGATCCGGTGGCAGAGGCAACTAGCTGCCCACCAGACGGGTTCCCCTTGCCTCCTGCAAGTCGTGTCTGGGAAGTGGCTGCCCGGCAGGGCCCACATCTGCCAGCCCTGAAGGCAGTGACTGAATCCGGCAGAGAGAAGCAGGCAGAAGTGATGCATGTGGGGGGAGGACCACGTTCCTCTACCCTCCCAGGCTCCTTCGGCTGCTCTAATAATTAAATTGCCACGAGACAGATTAGAGCAACAAGAGAAAATGACCAAATTTAATTGCATACACATGGATGGGAGCCCTGCGTGCAGGCGAGAGACCCACGCGCACAGGGGTTCCGAGACAGAAAGGGGACGCCTAGAGGACACTCTGAGCCAGGGATGAGGTCAGCCCCGGGGCCTTCAGGGGCAGGAGGTCATTGCAGGATGGTAAGAACAGATGTTCCCTGATGAGTTTTTCCTGCCCCACCGATAGGTCTCATATAAAGTTATCTCTGGTGATAACTCTTATTACGGGCGAGGCCCCAAATTTAAATTCTTTGAGGGAGAGGTAGTGAGCCCACAGGGTCTCAAAATAACTCACATGCCGAAGTAGCCCATCTTGGGGAGGCCTGCTTTGAACCCCTTCACAGACCTCTTCCAGACCTGACTCATAAACACCTCCTTATGAACGTCCATCTCTCCTCCCCGCCCCCACCCCCACCCCCAGGTCTGCAAGCTGGGTGTCAATGTCCAGGGCAAGAGCTAAAGATGGTGGAGCCTCCATCATCCTAACCCCTGCCTGGGTCTGGACCTGAGTGGAACAGAACTCCCTCCCCTGCTCCCTCCTCCAGGGGAGCAGACTATGGGAACGAGAAATAAAGCCAGCGGTGTGAGAACAGGGAGGTTTAGGGGGTTTTATGTTGATAATTTAAATTTTTTTCTTGCTAAAGATGATAGGCAGACAATCGAGCAGCCCACAAAGGTGTAGGTGTGGAGTTAAGGTGTTGCAGGTAATGATGAAGGGGCTGAGAACTAAGAAGTCTCCTGCCTTCACTAAGGGGAACCTATGGGTTTGCTGCTGACTAGGATGCTAGTGGCTGTCTCAGTTTAGGCTGCTGTCACAACGGACCATAGATCGGGTGGCTCACCAACAACAGGCATTTATTTCTCATGGTTCCGGAGGCTGGAAATCTGACATCAGGTGCCAGTAGGGTCGGGTTCTGGTGAGAGCCCAGTCATGCAGACCACTGGCCTCCGGTGTCCTCACCGGAGAGGAAGCAAACTCTTGTGACACGGATAAGGGCACTGACCCCATTCACGAGGGCCCCACCCATATGACCTCATCTAATCCTAATCACCTCCCAAAGCCCCACCTCCTAACACCATTCATTGGGGAGTAAGGTTTCAACATATGAATTGTAGGGGAGACACAAACATTTAGTCCATAATAGTAGTCAATTAATATATTAATAGAAAACTAAGCTATTTTTTAGAAACTAAGATGTTAACGACTAGGAGGTTGACAACAGATAATGGAGCTGTTAGGTGACATTGGCCTAGGTTCCCTCTTCTCAGCTATTTCTCTCAGCCTGTTCCTGGTCAGCGGCTGCCCTGTGTCCTGCCCACTGACAGCGAGCCCCTCTGGGGACCACCTGACAAAGCCGCTCTGGCCTGCCCTGGCCTCTTCCCATCACCAGGTGTCTGACCTGTGGGGTCAGATGAGACCTGGGTTCAGCAACCTCGGTTCTTGAGTTCTGGCTGAGAAAAGAATTCAGAGCCAAGACTCAGACTCGCTAGAGATTTATTGGGCAAGCAAAGAGAAAGTACACTCGGAGAGGAATTTCAAGATGCCCTGGGTGTGGGCTAGGGCTCCTTTCAGCCCCTCGGAACGGGGGTTAAATGCTTTCCTCTTCCAGCTGACTTATCAGGGCCTGTCCGGTCATCTTCTGTCCTTGCCTGGAAGTTAGATGGGGCTTCCTCCGGCCCCCTTGTTTTCCTCTAGGGGTGGGGGCCTACCACATGGCTTCACCATGTACCAGGGGAGAAAAGGTCAGGAGAATCCCACCTGCATGACCGGAGGCGTTCTAGGGTGGAGAGGGGTCCCCAGGGCGAGGTTCTGATTAACAAACTTATCTCCAATGCTTGCTCTGCGTTTCTTCCCAAACTAAATGTTTGTGTCTCCCCTAAATGCCCTGGTGACCTTCTGCACCTGGCCCATCGTCCTTGCTCTGCTCGTGTCTGTCTAACTGCTACCCCATTTCCAGTGGAAGGGACAGGCCTTTTCCCTGATGAATGACATGCCAGACCCACTGAAGGTCATCACCCACTGGGCAGCCCCACCTCCCCTACTGACCCCACAGTGTCCATGACACCCACTGCGCACAGCCCTCACCTGTGTCTGAAGAAGAGGGGCCCAGGCCTGCCTCTCCTGGCTCTGAGGGCAGCCTGTGAGTTGCAGCTGCGGCAGGCGTGGCGGTGTGGTCTCCTGTGGGTGGGACCACCCCTCAGCCCCTCCAGATGAGGCTCTCCTGTCCTGTGTGGAATGATCTGGGAGGACACTGCTCAGGCTGCTGTGAGGCCAGCCGCTGCCACTGTGGCCACAGCCCGGGCAGGTCTCCCCACTCCCCCTTCCACGGGATGCTCCGAGAGGTAAGTGGGGTTGAGCAACGGTGACCCCCTGACTTCTAGATCTCACTGATGGGACCCAAAGGAGGCTCTGTATATCTGTCTGTCAGAGGTGATGGCTTTGGGGAGTGGTCTGCCCCAGGCTCCCAGAGAGCCCAGTCCTCTCCCCAGACCCGGGCTGAGCTGGGTGCCTCGGAACAGGGGACGGTGCTCGCCCAGGTGTGCACCCCCAGCAAGCGTCTCCCCGCCACAGAGCAGGAAGGGGGAGCTTGGCAGGGTGCTTTGGGGACGCCGAGAGGAAAGGTCAGAGATGGGGGCTGCCTTGGAGAACGCAGGAGGCTCGAGGGCTGGCTGGCTGGCGTAACGGCCTTGGGGAGCAATGCGGAGAATCTTGGCTCTGTCACCTTCTCGAGTGTGGACTTGAGCAAGGCCCCTTCTATGGTAAACACTTAGAATAGGCATTGGCACCCATGGGTCCTCCAGACATGGTAACCATCCCAGCTGCTGATATCGGGGATCACGCCCGTGGCTCCGGCATGCTGGGTGGGGGCGAGGGCATGCCCTTCAGAGGTCAGGCAAGGACTGCAATTCAAGTTCAGGGCCGAGGCGGAGGGGAGTGAGTCACGAGTGCTGGTGTCCAGGCCATGACTGCAGCAGCCGGGCTACCACCTCCCCTGTGCCCCTCCCACACGTGGGCAGGCGGAGACTGAGGAGGCCTGGAGTGGGGTCAACCCTTCTGCACAATCCTCGGCCCACCCTTGGATCGGAGCCTCTGCCCACAGGACTGGCCTTTCCTGGCCGCTCCAGGCTCCCTCCCAGCCAGCACCCTGGGGAGACTGCCCTTTGCTCACTGTTGGTCACCCCAGATTCCGGTCTTCAGACTCATCAGCTTGGACGAGAGCCTCCAGCCGCCCACCCTCTGGGCGTCAGACAGGGACCCAGTCCCAGAAGCAGATGTTCTGCTTGTTCCTCTCACAGGAGGGAGAGCAAACTCTCCTCATCAGGGGGCTCACAGTGCAGCAAAGTCACCCCTGATGCTGCTGGCAGGACCTCCGGGGTTTTCTTAAAAGTGTGTGTGTGTGGGGGATCCGTCACCTGGAATCCCACGGCACAGCCCCGAGCCACAGCCACCAGAGGGCAGCCGGAGGCGGTCAGCTTGTTCAGACTCCCTCCGGCACCGTATCACCAGGCAGGTCCTGCCAATGGGTCCAAAGCCTTCAAGTTCAGGTTCTCTTTTTCTTCCACAGGCCTGGGTCCTATCTGTACCCGGGACGCATCTTCTCGTTCAGGTTCTCTTTTTCTTCCACAGGCCTGGGTCCTATCTGTACCCGGGACGCATCTTCTCCTAAACTTTCCCTTTTCTTTCCCTCCCTTTCTTCTTCCTTCCTTCCTTCCTTTCTTTCTTTCTTCCTTTCTTTCTTTCTTTCTTTCTTTCTTTCTTTCTTTCTTTCTTTCTTTCTTTCTTTCTTCTTTCTTTCTTTCTTCCTTTCTCTCTCTCTCTCTCTCTCTCTCTCTCTCTCTCTCTCTCTCTCTCTTTCTTCCTTCCTGGACACCCCTACTGGGGAATCAAGCCAGCAACCCGGGTACGTGCCCTGAACCCAGGACCTCTTAGTCCAAGCATGTCAAATTCACGCCGGAGGGGGGTGGGGGGCCACGCAGCCTGTGCGTTCTATGTGCTTGTCTTAGTCCATGGGTGATGTTCAATCCACTGAGCAACACCAGCCGGGAACTTTCTCTTCTTTTCAACCAAAGATAATAAACATCAGCCTATTCTTCTTCAGGCAAGATCAATCATTCATAAGCCGTTTCCATTTACTGAGAGCCTGCGCCATGCGCTTTACTGTACACACGTTATCTCACTTTATCCTCACACCCCGGGCGTTATTGTTACTCCTATTTACAGTGGAGGAATCGAGGTTCAGAGAGGCTCCCTGGCTTACCTCGGCCACGAGGTTTTCAGCGACCAAACCACTGGGTCAGAGCCCAGGTCTGGCTGAGTGCAGAGCTCGAGCCCTTGCCCACATATTGCTTTGTCCACCAAGAACAGGGGAGTCTCATGAAGGGAATGTTGTCTTCTGTTCTGTCCTCAGGTTGCAAGATCCTCAGGCTCAGAGGTGAGGGGGAGCTCCCCACACCTGCCCAGGCCGAGCGACTGTGAACAGGAGCTTCATGGGCTGGTGTCGGCTGCTTTGGCTTCCACTTTCCACAAGAGAAGGAGCATCTTTTCCTGACGGGGGCTCGTCTCCATGGCAGCCAGATGTCCTGACGGGGAGGAAAAAGACCTAATGGGACAAGTCTTTAGCTCATTTGGAGCTTCACAAAATTGTACATTTTGATGTTTTCCTCCCATTACTGAATTAGTACACGGCCAAAAAAATTTGAAGAGGCCAAAAAGTAAACGGAGGGAAAAGATAACTTGTAGGACTCAACTGGTGATCTGTGGGAAAATTTCCTTCTCTCTTTGTAAAGGTCAGAATTAAAAAGTGATGGTTGGAATTGCATTTATACGTATACTGCTTTATTCATGAGCAAATTTCCATATTACGTTTTTTAAAAAACCACCCTGCCCAGCTAGAGTGGCTTAGTTGGTTGAACCAAAAGGTTGCCAGTTGATTCCCAGTCAGGGCACATACCTGGGTAGCAGGTTCAATCCCCGGTCAGGCACATACAGAGGGCAACCGATCGATGTTTCTCTCTCTCAATCTCCCTTCCTCTCTCTAAGCATGTCCTTGGGTGAGGATTCACACACACACACACACACACACACACACACACACACACCCTGTTTTTCTTACCCAGTGTCCTCAGGTGTGCATTTAGGTTGGGATGAAGCATGCCTGTGCTGCTTTTAGGTCTCAGGGATCATTTCATTCTCCTGGGCAGACAGCTGTGGTGCCATCTGCCGTGGGGCTTCCCCGGCACCGCTCTCCCTGTGCACAAACTCGCTTCATTCATTTCTCTGACAGAAATAATGCCGACCTCAACCTCGAGCTTGGGTCTCCCGCTGGGTTGGCAATACCTCCACCCCTAAGGAACCCACACCTGTCCCTGTCCCGAGGGCACCGCCCTGACTTCCCGGCTTCCCAGAACCGAGGCCCTCACAGGAGGGGAGCCCCAGCGACTCTGCTTGAAATGCTGCTTTTGACCAACACCTCAACTTTCCCAACTGCTGTACTTCAAGATTCAAGGGGGAACTGGTGGCCCAGAGGGGGCCGGGAGGGGATCTGGAGGCCAGAAGGCGTGGGCTTGCATCCTGGCTCTTCTACTTATTAGCTGTGGAAACAGCAAATTACTGAAGCTCGGAGCCTGGGTTTCTTCATATTTATGAGAGATACTTCCTTCCCTCCAGGGTGTTTGTGGGAATTAAATGACATAATGCGAGAGAACTTGTCGAGTCCAGTTTTGACCTAATCGAGGCAGTTAATAAAGAACTGAGATCACTTCCTACCCCGTCCCCACCCCCAGGGAGGAGAGCTCTCGGTTCTATCTCTTAGTGCCGCTGAGCCAAAGCTTTCTCCTCTTGGAGAAAGTTCTCCAAAGCCGAGCCGGTCAATCCAGGAGCCGAGAGGCTTTCCTGGCCTTGGCTCTGGCCAGACTGTGTGCCGACAACGGGCTCCCTGCCCTCGTCTTGTTGATGGGGTCAAGACCGCTCGGCTTACGGGAGGAATAAACAAGACAAGCAAAAACGCCCTTCACTCCTCATACCAAATGTCCTCACCCATTTCCTATATTTCGTACGCGTTTGCTGGCACGTGGCACGGGCTGTGTGCACTCAGGCCGCTCTGGGAACGTCTTAGATGCCTGCCTGGAGCTGTGGCCCTGCCTTCCCTTCTGTCCTCATCTTCCCAGCTCACTCCATCATGCTGTGTTTCTGGACCAAACACGTCCCACTGAAGCTGGACACGAGGGAGAGAAGGACTAGTTAGACAACCTGGTTCAAATGCAGCCATGAACCCGGCGGCTCTCCTGTGGAGCCTGCCAGGTTCCCAAGGGTCAGCTCGATCAGGATTTCTGGGCATGGGGACCAGGCACAGTATTCAGTCAGAACCAAGTTTGAGAGCCGGTGACTTAATCGCTGCTGCTAATGGGCGGCCTGTTCCCCATGCGTCTCACTTTATAGCTTCCACGTGGAGTCAGGCTCACAGCCAACGCTCTGATGGTGACGGAGAGCCTCAGTCTGGTCCTGATTAACTCCAGGATCACACAGATGTCCCGGAGTCATACATGACAAACATTTTATTGCATTAAGAAAGGCATCTGTTAACTGCTGGGCTGCAGGGGGACCGCCCCGGAGGCCACTTCAGAAAAATGGCAGAGAAAAAAGATTTTCAGCATCACACCATGGCTAGCTGCTCCCCCACTTTCCCCAACAATATTCATCAGTGGCTACGGTCAGTCCTGGTGGGAGCACCGAGTTGCTGACTTCACGTAAAGCCAGGATGATCCTAGTTCGCCACCAACACAGGTGCATTCCTGGCCACCTCCCAGCAGCCGGACTGCGGTGGCTCGAACACAGGAGGCAACGCCGGGTGGCGCCCGTCCCATCCTGTGGTGAACCCGCTCTCCCATGGCTGGCTCTGGGACGGTCTCAAAGGCAGTGTTGCCATCTGGGCCCAGTGAGCAGACTCCCTGCGGGGCTGCGGTGGCTCCGAGATTGGTTCCAGCCGAGGCTGGAAGCGGCTTGGTTCCGCCTCGCTGCACAGCAAATGTTCTACCCCGAGGGGGCGGTTAGCCGAGCAGCTCCTCACTCAGGGTAGGAAGTGGTGCTCCGCCCGGCGGGTGGCGGGCGCATCCAGTGGGGCTGGGGAGGATGCCACCCACAGGGCGGAGCTGAGGAGCAGTGGGGACGCTGGCACAGGGACTGGCACCCCAACATCTGAGGACTCCGGCGTCCATCCACGTGCTGGGTGTTTGGACCCACACGGCTTTCCCATCTGGCCTGAGCGAGGAGCCACCCACCACGATGCCCAGGCTGTTACCCGTTCAGAGGGACTGTCCACGCTGCTCCCGAGCCTCGTGGGGCTACTCGGTTTACCCACAAGTTCCTGGGTGTCCCTGGGGGGTGCCATTTCTGGATCCAGAAGCACCAGGCTGCTCGAGAGGCCTGGTGCTATGCCCATCACTTCCTGTGCCCGCCCGGCCGTCTCTGGTGGCTTCAATGGGGTCAATGGCTTCCTCCACCAGGTAATGCGGGGGGCAGGCTGCCCGCCCCCCCCCACTCATCTTTCTCCTCTGCCCACCCTCACCCTGCACCAGGCCACACCACAGGGCACACTGCTGACGCCCATCTGCCGGAGCGCGACGGTAACATTCAGGACTTCTGTGTTTCCCCGCCCTGACCCGAATCTTCTTCGTCGTCCAGGCCTGGACGGAGGTCCTTTGGGGACCCGGTGGGGTCACTCCTGCACCAGGAAGTTGATGAGGGCCGTCCTTGGCGAGAGGAAGGCCTTCTTGATGCTGCGCCCCTGCAGGAGCCTGGCGCCCAGCTCGCTCTGCAGGACGAGCTCGTGGACTTTGTCCTGGTCCTGGGCCACGTGCTGGGGCACAGGGACTTTGCCGCAGGCTTTGTTGTTGATCTGAGGAGAAAAGCCGAGACAAGCAGGGCTGAGAGGCAGCAGCCAGGCGCCCAAACCCACTTCCTGCAAAGGGCCCGCTGTCTGTTGGGGGAAGGGAGTGTGGGGAAGGAAGAAGGACAAGCAACACCCGCTTCTTGGAGGACCAAGTGCAATGAGAGAGCGAGGAGCGAGAGGAAGCTGATGTAGCCTTTCTGCAACACAGTGTTCAGAGTGGGTGCCCTCCACGGCCGACCTCCTCACCATCACCCCCTCCCCGCTTGGAACCAAGAGCAGCTGAATGAAGCTGAGAGAGGTGGAGACAGCTTGGAAGGAAGATAATCACCCTTTAATGCGGGACAGGTTTATTTTTCCCACTTTCCAACCCCGAGGGCGTGAGGGTTCATGCGCAACATTGGTACCTGGTGACCTCAGACAGAGATGCGGGCGAAGGAGATGGGCGGGCGGGGCGGGATGGGCCAGAAAGGCCACAGAACCGCCAGACCCACAGGACAGGCCCTGCCCCGCAGGCCCGCCTGCGCTGGGGGCTGCGGGAACCACTCACCAGCACGGCCATCTGCACGACGTCGGGCGGTTGCAGGAACTGCGGGTCCACAGCTGGCCACGGCTGGAGCAGCACGCCGGCGTCCCAGGCGTAGTGGGTGCAGAGCTTCCTGGGCACCAGCGCCAGGCCTGCAAGGTCAAGGCCAGAGGGTCACTGAGCGCACGCGAGGCTCCGGAGGCTGCACCACGGCTTTTCCGAGCCTACCAGCTGCTCCCCACTGACTCCGGCCCGGCTTATCCCCAGGCTACCGGCAGCTTTTCCTCACAGTGCCCGGAGCTGTGATGGATGGACACGCGTTCTAACCGGGCTGCTGGTCCGCGCTGGTCCCTGCAGTTCTGTTGGGGACAGAACGCCTCTGTGCTGAAAGCGGATCCCCAAACCCCGAGCTGCTGGCTTCCTCTCTGGGCTGGGACTACGGTGGTCTGAGGGCCCCACGGCTTCTCTCCCCCTCCAGGAGGCGTTCCTGCCAATCATGGCACTGGAGAGAGCTGACCGTGGCTCAGGGTGGGTCAGACACGCAGCGGCAGAGGAACGAACCCCCGAGTGCTTCCCGCTGCACCCTGAGCTGAGGAGCCGTGCCCAGGCGCTCCCTGCTCCGTCTGCACCCACAGGGCTGCAGGGCCAGCTGTCGGTGCCCGGGCTTTCCCTGGGGTGCCCACAAAGGAAAGCTCTGATTTCGAAGCCTCTGCAGATCCCGTGAGCTCAGGTGATGCCCCCAAATGGGCAGGTACACACACAGAGAAACAGATGCCTGGGCATTACTTAAAAACACACACAGTCAACTTTCCTAATCTTATTCAAGCAGTCCTCTTCCCTATTGGTCTGTGATGTTTCTTTTACAAATCTTATCCTAGAGATGGCTCGGGACTATTCACTGCGAAGCTACTTGACGTGCCCGTCTGCGAGGCGGTGGAAACTCAGCCTCGACGTGAATCCACACACCCTGCTGCCTTCGTAGGGAAGCTGCGGCCGTCCTGTCTCCGCTGGGCGCTCAGTGACACCGATGCACCTCCTAAGCACAGGCTCCCTGTCTCGTCGAGGACTGTGTGTGACCGACCGGCAGGGCCACGGGCCACTCTGAGCAGCGCTGGTCCGATTTACCCTGCTGACCTCGTCTTGATTCTCGCGTTAGTACCACGGGCGTCCCTGCCGCAGCTTTGTCTGTTTTCCTATCGGGCGCTCTTGCAACCTCGTGCTGTTCGTCCATCTCGGGGAAGCGATGGCCCCTCGGGTCGGCGATCGAGTGGTGGACAGGACAGGTCCCTGGGCCCCGCTGGCCCCTGGGAGCTGGGGCTCCTGTGCTCGCCAACGAACCTGCTTTGCTTCTAACACATGTGCCTCCAGCAGAAGCAGGAAGTAGCTGCCCTCTTGTTCCTCAGAAGGGAGCCTATTGACACTCACGTCTACGTAGAAGGCGGAGGTCACGGAGCGAGATGGCCATGTCCTTATTTTAGCCGCTGGCCCAGGATGGCGGGTCCTGTGACCCAGCCGCACCGGGAAGAACTCAGGAACCTCCGCCAGGCGTCGCACAGGATGCTGCCCGATGGAAGGGCCTTGGCAGAAGCGGTTACAAGCTCCCCTGTGAGTGAACGAGGAAGCCCGGCCTTCCTGGAGCCACCCGGATGCGTATTTATAGCGGCCGGGCCCGTGAGTTTCCATATGGACGGAGTGGGCCGTCCTGCCAGCGAGGAACAGAAACCCCCCGGGTCCTATGCAGGCTCTGCCTCCCGCTCATTTTAGGGAAACAGAGGCCCCTGACATTTGCACAGCAAATACGACGGTTTCCGTACGTCAGGCAGGTCAGGGCAAAGCTGGCCTTGGGGAAGCACGTGGAGAAAGTCCGAGCGCAGCTGGGAAGTGGCCGGCCTGGCACACAAGGTCGCCGCGCAGGGCCAGCCTGGCCCATGGCCCCCTCTCCGCCCCCCGGGAGAGCTGTCGTCACTGACCTTCCTGGGAAATAACCGAATCAAGCCCCCTCCCACTCGGAGAGCTGACGAGGTCGAGCCACCGGAAGAGAGTGCCGGGTGGTCACGGCTCCTGTGGACGCCAGGCCTCCCCGGGGCCAGCCTCAGGCCTGCCTCATACACACAAGGGGGGATGTGGGGACGCTGTGGCGTCTGACCCCCTGTGCCTCGTCCAGCCCTCGCCATGCCGAGGAAGTGGACAGGAAGCGAGGCCGCATCACTGTAGCCTTTGCCCCCAGAAGCCCTGCGTGCCCTGGTAACAGACCCAACTTGTTAACAGGTGTGTGCCTGGCGGCCTGTGGCTGAGGACACAGCAGAACTGCAGGCTCAGCGAGTGTCAGCTGGGACCCTGGATGCCTGGACCGGGACCCTCGGCTCAGAACAAGTGTTCACACCTGGGACCCTGGCACCCACCTGCCTGAGGTGCTCCCTTGGCTGGCATCAGCGTGTGGGACTGAGCTTCAGGACCTGGCTGAGACGCTCAGGCCCGTGTCTGTGCCGCTTCCTTGGAACTGCGTTGTTGGTGAAACTGTTTCCTGGCATCTCACACCTGCAGGCGCTCTCCCAGCTGCGCTCGGACTGTCTCCGTGTGCTTCCCCAAGGCCACCCCCTCCCTGACCTGCGTGCCGTACAGAAACCGTCGTATTTGCCGTGCAAATGCCAGGGGCTTCTGCTTCCCTAAAAAGAGTGGGAGGCAGAAACCCTGCATGGAACGTGGCGGGGGTTTCTGTTCCTCGCTGGCAGGATGGCCCGTTCCCATTTATATGGAAACGCTGTTATTTTTATTTATTATTATTAATATTTTTAGAGAGAGTGGACAGGAAGGGGAGAGACAGAGAGAGAGAAACATTGATGTGAGAGATACATCAATTGGTTGCTTCCTGCACGTGTCCCGACTGGAGATCTAGACTGCAACAGAAGTACATGCCCTTGATCAGAATCGAACCTGTGACCTTTCAGTCCATGGGCTGATGATCTAACCAGCGGTTCTCAACCTGTGGGTCGAGACCCCTTTGGGGGTCGAATGACCATCGGAAAACACATATATAATTAATTACATATTGTTTTTGTGATTAATCACTATGCTTTAATTATGTTCAATTTGTAACAATGAAAATACAGCCTGCATATCAGATATTTACATTACGATTCATAACAGCAGCAAAATTACAGTTATGAAGTAGCAACGAAAATAATTTTATGGTTGGGGGTCACCACAACATGAGGAACTGTATGAAAGGGTGGCGGCATTAGGAAGGTTGAGAACCACTGATCTAACCACTGAGCAACCGGCCAGGGCTGTCTCTCGAATGCTGCTAGTTCTTACCTTTCCTTGCCTCCTTCGTCTTCACTCTTGGAACGTGTTCAACCCTCATGAAGTCCCTACAATTACCTCCTCAACTCCCTTTCCTTCTAAATCACTACCCAGTGTCACTGAAAATCACAACCCCCCAGTCCAGGGCTCACAGACCCCATCACAGAACACCCCCCACCATGGTTGTCCCCTCACTGGGAGCCGGTCAGGACAGCACCCAGTCACCACTTCCTCCTTGTGGTTCCCTGTCTCTTCGGCTCCGTTTGGTCTGAAGACTGAATGACGTTTTTGGCAGCGTGTGTGGCCAACGGCACTTATTTCAGGAGCCGGTGCTTTCTGTGTGGCTTCCGGGCCTCTGGTCGACACACGTGGGAAGGGCCGCGGGGAGGTCTGCTACTTCCCAGAGGCCCCGGATAAAAGCACCGTGTCAACCCTGAATCCTAGGCGGCCCGTCTCCTGCGAAACGTCCCAGTGGTCACAGGAGACCACTGAGCACAAGGTTTGGGGGCCCAGGGCCTGGGACCCGCACAGCCACCCGCTCAGTACCTGTCACTTCATTTCCATTCCCACCAGGGGCCACTGCAGGGTTCGGCACGGCCCTCCTGCACCTGCCGGGCCCGGGACTCGGGCGCTGCAGAGAAACAGGCCGACGACCCTCGCTTTCCTAAGTGAACTGAGACTCGTTCAGGCAAGATGCTTTAGCGGCAAATAAATTCCATTCTTTTCCTTCTAACAAAGAAAAAGACTGAAACCTCATGCTATTTTACAAAATAGTTCCATATCATATTAAAATTACAAAAAATGGAGATGAGAAAAGGAAAAGAATAAAGAAGGTGGCTTAATGCAGAGAATGTTCAAATTATTATTTTTAAAATATTTTTTAAAAGAGAAGAAGGGAGAGGGAGAGAGGGATAGAAACATCAATGTTGAGAGAAAATTGATCGGCTGCCTCCTGTATGCCCCACACTGGGGATCGAACCCACAACCCGGGCATGTGCCCTGACCGGGAATAGGACATGTCTCTTGGTTCATGGGGCGAGACATTCAACCACTGAGCCACGGCGGCCGGGCTCAAATTGTTTAAGAGGAGAAGATGCGGGTATTGCAGCGATGGCCTTTCAGAACGACCAGCGGGCCCTGTAAAACGTCCTCAACGAGCTGCCCCAAGATGGGAAAGCACAGGGAAGCCCTGCCTTCGGTTGTCACCTGAGAGCAGGTCTTACGTTGAGGACACAGCCCACCTGCCTGTGCATCAGAATCACCAGGAGCCTTTAAAGCAGATTCTCCCACCCCAGAACCCAGAACTCGATCTCCAAGGGTGGGTGGGGCAGAGGCGTCCACACGGAACCATGTGAGCCTCAGGAGGTCACACCGGCTGCAGTGCCCGGCTGAGGAATCAGGGGCCTGAATCGCAGCCTCAGCGGGTGCAGTTCAGATCTGCACTGTCCGTCCGGGGCCCCTTTCTCCATCTGTGAAGTGGGACTAACCATGAGTTTCTATCTTAAAAACATGACATGGGTCATGATGTGTGGGCGCCAGGAGGCTGGGTGAATGTTCTGCGGTGACATCACTATTCACACTGTTCCAAAGGGGGAGGTGTCTTCCCCTTTGGGCGGGGTGACCACAAAGCACCACCACTATTCCGAGCACAAGACGAGCACAGATGCCAAACCCGGGCCCCTGGCGCAGGACATCTGCGTCCCGAATCAGGTTCTGCAAGAGGCTCGAGCACGTTCTGGGGAGCAGTGACTTGTTGGGCGAGGATGCCCACCTACCTGCCCAGAGCTCGGAGGTTATGTGAGGGGCCATCGGGGCGGCCATCACCAGCAGGGCACACAGAGCGTCCTCGAACTCGGGGCTGTGGAGGACGACCCTCGGAGAAGCTTGCTGCGGGAGAGAAGAGAACACGGATGTAAGACTGCGAAGGCATGTGGAATACACAGCAAGCACGCCAGGATGTAGCTGACGTCCAGACACTCCGCAGGCTGGAAGAAGCCTTCTGGACCAGCCGTGTTGGCTCTGGACCAAGAACTTTCTCCATTAACCCTTTTCGGTCCAACGTCCAGGCTGACTCGACAGACCAGGCGCTAGAAGCAGGTCCAACGTGGAGCTGAGGTTGACACTGCAAACCGCTGCGATTTTATGCATTGTCAGTAAGGTGCTGGGTTGCATGTGAGGAAATGTTTCAAAAGATACCACACTATGAAATGTTTTAAAGAATAAACTCTTTGATTGAACATACTTAATAATATAACCACTGAATTTTTGGTTTAAACTTCAAAATAAGAACATTAAAAAGTTCAACATTCAATCCCGTCAATTAATTTGGACCAGACTGTTTGAATTCCAAAAATAAAATTGGACTGCAAAGGGTTAAATGACAGTATTAAAAACAGCTTCAGCAGTACCAACAAGTACACCACTCTTAACTGAGCACTCACTGTGCCCTCAGTCTGACGCCCACTCCTTCAGCTCTCACACGGCCCTCTGAGGGCGGCGTTCTGACCCCATGGGACAGCGGGAGCAGTTGAGGGTTAGAGGGGAGTCCTCTCCCTGGGCACATGGCTAATGTCTACCCCAGTTTTTATCCATCTTCTAATGTGGCATGTTTAACTATACTAAAAGTGGCTAGCCTTAGGGAGTGCAATCTATAAATCTCTTCCCCTGTTTTAAAGGCTTGGAGAGGGCTTCATTATAAAAAGCATGTGTTAATAGTTTTAATAGTTAATAGTTTAAATGTGTTAATACTTTTTTTTTTTTCTTGTCCAAACAACTAACCCCTTGCCCAAGCTCCATTTGTTGGAAGTCCTTGGCCTGGCAAGAAAAAGGACAGTCACTTGTCCCAAGACGGTGAGACTGTCCTGCAAAGGCTGACTTCTGTTCTCAGTGAGAGCAAACCCGACTGGTCTAAGTTAAAGGAATTAAAATGTTAATGATGCCAGGGGAGGGGGGGGAGGGGGCAGCGGCGGTAAGTCACAGGAGCCCAGGCAGTGGGAGCAGGAAGAGGAGGCACAGGGGGAAGGCTCGGAGGCCCTGGGCTGCTCCTGGAGTTGTCACCCCACCACCTAGGCCTCTGCATCCTCGTCACCAAAACACGGGGGAGGGTGGCGGAGGGGGCTAGGACCAGATAATCTTTCGGCACCTTCAGCTCTAAGACGAGGCTGTGACTATGGACAAAATGCTTCTTTGAGATAAAGAAGGTGACACCGTGGTCCTGCTCAGCCCCCGGCCTGAGCCCTTGCCGGCGCCTCGGCTACAGCCCACGAGGACAGACAGGCCGCTTACCACGAGGGCCCCGCTGAGTCCCATCAGATGAGAAATGGCAGAGTTCAGAGAGAAGTCCTCCGTGAAGTGGGCGGTCACCTAGGGGTGAAAGTTGAATTATTCACTTTCTTCAGAACTCCTCCAAGCTTCCCACAAAGAAACAGGGCCTCATCCAAAAGTGTGAATTAAATGAATGCAACCATAGCTATTTACACGTGTTCACTGGCTCAGCTCATCACGATAATGTTTCATCAGCACAAAGAGTGTTAAAACCATGTTGATGGTTCCTCTTCCCCCACAGCTGGGAGGTGCTGGTGCTCACGGCGGGTCCTTAAGAAAACGCGGGGAGCAGGAGGCAGGACCCCCAATGAGCACACATGGAAGCCAGAGCGGACAGGAGACGGGTAAAGGACGGCCCGTCCCCTCGGCTGCGCGGCTTCGATTCATAAGGAGGAGGATCAGCGCGTGGACAAGGTTCGTCTTCCATTTTCCAACGTGCAGTCGACCTCGGAGCACGAACACGATTTGTCAGCTTTGCCCTGTGTGTGCTTTCCCATTCTGACCTCGGGCGAGGAGACAGAGAAAGAACACATCTTTAAGATGTCCAGAGTCCCCGCTGTGTTGAAATAACCCACTGCTATTCTCTGACAGGGCAGAAGGACTTGCCAGGCCCAGAGAGAAAGTATGTGGAATGAAAACAATCCCTCAGGCGCCACTCAGAGCACCAGCGCGCTCCCTGCCTCCGGTCTCCACGCCAGAGGACGGAGGGCAGAGGGCGGAGGGCGGAAAGGAAGCTGAGGAGGTGTCCCCAAACGAGACCAGGCTGCGCCTGGGGCCACGTCAGGTTACACAGCCACAGAGGAACAACACCCTCCTTCAATGTCATCGGTTACCAGCGTCCAGAAGTGACCGTGGCTGACTTCATACATTTGAATCAGCACATTAAAAAACAGCAACACAGCCGAGGAGCATCTGGGGTCTCTGGTACCCGTTAAAAATGGCTTCAGAATTCCTAAATGCCTTCTTTCAGAGACTGACATTTTTTCACCAAGTTCTTAAAAGGCAAATGTCGCCCTGGTGGCTCAGGTGATTGGAGCATCATCTTCCACACCAACAGGTGGTGGGCTCAATTCCGGGTCAGGGCACATACCCAAGTTGTGGGTTAGATCCCCGGTCGGGGCACATACAGGTAACATCACTACTTCTCTCCCTCGCTCTCTAAAAATCAATTAAAAAAAATATTCTCAGGTGAGGATAAAAAAAAGTTCCAACTTAAAAGAAAAAAGAAAAAAAGGCAAATATCATTGTATTAGAGCAGATTCCTAGATTTAAAAAAAAATTAAAGGTTTTTGTTATCAATGAAGAATATTTTTAAATGATTTAGACAATAATACACTATTCTCTAAGAATGTAACATGAATAAATCATTTATTTGCAAACATTAACCCACAAGAACTCACACAGATACTGTGCAGCAAAGTCACTGGCTGGGCACGTCCCGCACCAGGGAACTTGGATTCTAGCCTCTTGGTTCCTCACTAGCTGTGTGACTTTCCGAAAGACGCTTAACCTCTCTGTGCCTCGTCTCTATCCCCATCTGTAGAATGCGGATGCAAAAGAAGAGAGTCCTTCATGCCCTTTCACCTCTCAAATTCTGCTTCTGTTGCTCTAAGGTGTTAGTGTAATCAGCGTGATCCTGAGCTGGCCTCTGCCCGCACATGTTAGGTATGGACACATGGAGAGAGGGCAGCTCCCTGAGATCCGGGCCACTTCCACAAGAATGACTGCACTTTCGCTCCACCTTGGCGAAATGTCAAAGCAGTAGATGGATTACTCAAGGCCAGTGGGGCCACCATAATGAAGAGGAAGACTCACGTGGGCCCACCGAGAGAAGGTGGCCACACAAACCTCAAGTGCCTGTTACAGAGTCGCCCAGTGTCCCCAGAAAGTCTCTGACCTGAGAGATGATCGTGTTCTTGAACGCCCAGAGCTTGCGGGCCTCGGCTCTCTCCTCGCTGCTCAGCCGCTGGGGCCTGGGAACCTCCCCGGAAGCCCTGGCCTCAATGAAGCGGGTTGCCAAGGACCACAGCCGCTGCTGCCATCTCAGCACGCCGGGCAGCGCGTCAGCTGTGGTGGTGTTGGTAGATGAGAGAGAAAGAGAGACACATGGGAATGACTGGGTTACCCCTGAGCCTCGAAAAGCACCTGTGAACTGAGGACACACTTGGCTGTGCCCCGTGGATGGATCCACGGGCTGGTGGATGGTCCTCCCTGGCCGCCACTGTCTGGGAACTCAGACCAGGGCGATTCCATCAGATCTCAGCGACCCAGACGCTCTGAGCACCAGGCGGCAAGGCTGCTTAAAGTGCCGCCCATGACTGTCCCGGCCCTTGGAGCTCAGAAGCTTGGCCAGGATGTGCGCACTGCACACTGCCTGATGAAGAGTCTGTGGCACAACAGGGAGCCTGGGGACACATTCCCCATCTCACCGGGGCAGGTACCACTCAGGGTGGTGGTCTGCAGACAGCTGGGAGCCCATCGAGTACAGCACGAGCTGTTTGCACACGATGTGTCCTTGCCAGACATGTGGACTGCCTATGTCAACCTTGCTCATCCAATCTGGGTGCTGATCTGATTTCCAGGAGAAGCTGAGCGCCTCATCCTGTCACCCTGGATCAAGGGTCAGCCAGATGAAGGCCAGGCCAGTCTTTCCTCCTGGGCCACTGGACTAGGCACTCCTAAGCCTGATGCACACAGACCTTGGGGAAGGCTCGCTAGGAGGAGCTGCCTGGAGGCTGCCTGCAGGGGGGAGGGAGCAGAATTGCGCCCCCAAGTCTGCACTTCCTAATCCCGGGTTCTAATGCAGCAGGCCCAGGACTGGCGCCTGTGACGGCCCCTCCAGCCACCCTGCTCATTAGACATGAGGTGGCAAACTAGCGGGTGGTCCAGGCATCTGCGCGCATCTTCCCGTCACACGCATGAGCAGATCACCGAGGAAGCGTGAATGGCCGCTGGACAGGGATCCAGGACACCCAGATTATTTTACATATTTATCATACATATTACTTGTAAGTATGTGATATGCATGCCACATACTACCCATGTTAAATATGTAATGTGTGTATTAAAGACACTTATGCTATTTATAAATATGTGATGTGTACATATAACAATATAATAAATCCAAGATTAGTTTCCTTCATGCCGTTGTAGATCTAAATGACTTCTAGAGAGACTTTCCCTGAGGGGGCTCTGGAGGCTGTGGCGACCGAAGAGGTCACGTGACAGCAGGCCCAGGCCCAGGCCCAGGCGGGGTTTCTGGACCGGTGAGGGTGATGGCACTTCTAGAAAAACCCTGTCAGGACAGACCAGGGCCCCACGGGCAGCATGGAGGCCAGTGTGGCTCCAAGTACACGTTCTCAAGGTGGGTCCTTGTGGAACCTGGGTCCACGGGCTTGTCGGAGGCAGGCTCCTGGGCCCGCCCTGGGGCCGTGGCGGCAAGGGTGAGGATGGGGAGCCCGTGATGCCAACGAGCTCCCGGGTGATTCGGAGGCCCATTCACCTGAGACACTGGGCTCCCAGGGCACCACCCTGGCTGATGCAGACAGACGGCCACTCGCTCCACGGAGCCCATCTCTAGACCCCTCTCCCACTGCCTTCAACCAGGACAGCGGCGTCCCCGAATGCCTTTAGCGTACAGGCTGAGGACAAAGGGGGCCGAGCAGGAAGAGGCAGGCGGCTTACTCTTGACGTCCCACAAGATATCCTTCTCTGGGGGGGCGGCGAAGAGGAGGTAGAGGCGGACCGTGTCGATGCCGTACTGCTGCACCACCTCCTCGGGGTCCACCCCATTGTGCTTGGACTTGCTCATCTTCTCCCACGTCACCTCCAGCTTCTCCTTTGTTTTTGCATGAACAGGGACAGAACCTAGATGCCAAAATAATACAGAGGTACAGCGTGTGCACCTCTGAACTGATTCTATGAAAATACATTCAATAAGAAAACAGTGGGTGAGCAGTTACAACTGCCCACGGGAACGCCGCTAATTCACTGAACAAGCCCCTCTCGCTCCATCCGCATTATATGACAAAAAATGTTTTTACGTGAATGAGGCTCACCTCCCACCACAAATCTTCTTTCATGAATATAATTTTCCCTCAACCACAAAATAAGACAAAGCAATCTCTCCTTTTATAAAAGTATGTACCAAAGAGGAAATGAGGAAGGATAAGAAGGACTCATACGTATTGCTGTTTTCTTTGTGGATCCGGGGTTTCCTATGGGAGCTGGCGGCTGACCAGCAAGGCCTCAGAGCAGCACAGCGCCCTGCGTCTCAGTCACTGGCCTTTAGTCCAGGTCTTAGTCACCAATGATCTCACACTGTCAAGGCCACGGAGCTAACTCACTGGGCTCACACGAATGTGGTCCCTCGGTGCTGCCAGAGCCACGCCCTGTCCTTGGAAGTGTCTCCTTCCCACCCACACGCAGTGGCCCAGAGGGCGCTGACAGAGGAGGCCTGAAATGGCCATGTTTGGAGGAGGCCGGGGCCAGGAAGGACATCTGACCAGGCTAAGCCTCTTTCTCAGGACCTGGAACTAGGAGACAGAAGCTCTGTTTGGATGGCGTTGGGCACTTGCAGCCATAAAACCTAGAGAGATGGGGCGAGACCTGGCACAGTGGCTCCCTAAGATCGCTCTGCAAACGGAAATTAGGGGCGAGCAGAATCCAAGCCTGGAAAACAGGACAGAGAGAAGCAGGAAGAGGAACCAGGGGCTGGAGGAGAGGGAGGAGAGAGGAGTGGCCTGGGGACGTCCCCCACGAGGTGGGGCTGCTGGTATTTCCTGCAGCTGCGCTGGGGTGATGCCCCCACATCCTTGTGCTAAAACCGTCAAACGCCCAAGGGACCGAAACATGTACCTAAAAGCCAAGTCCACACTTCAGGAGAGGAACACACACTAAGTGGATGGAGGCCTACCCCGCTGACCCTCGGTTTCGCTCCCGGGGACAAGTCTCCGTGAGAAGGGAAAGATGTTCACAACACTGGCCTCGGAGCAGAGGGAGCTGTTGGGTGCAGGCTGTGCTGAGGCTCAGGGAACCCCTGCCCTCCATAGCCCCCCACCGCTGCTCCGGGCTGTGCTCGCATATACAGCCCTGCTGTGCGAACCAGGAGAGTCAGGAAAAAGGCATCTTTCTGGGCAGGGAAGCTGAGGAGTTAAAATGGGCCCTCTTGGCAGATGTGGCCCTGAGGTGCCTCGTCTGGTACGTGGCTGGCTGCCAGGCCTCGCTCACGCCCTCGGCTGGTGCCTTTGTGCCCTGACCGCTTCCCTCAGAGCTGGATTTGTGTGCCCCTGGTCCGTGCTGGAGAAACACTGCCAACTTCTGCTTCTCCAGCTCCTTTTTCTCCCACGGTGACCATTGCTAACCGGGCATATGGCAGCTTTGATTAGGTAACTCCTCTACTGCTGGGCATGGGAGGCTGCCGACCATTTAAGGGGTGTTGGCTTCACCTAATCTCACCCATTATGCGCTGGTTTTCTAAAGAATTTCAGGGCCACAGTGCTGGGGGTTTCTCACAGCTGCCTCCATGTCACCCCCTTCTGCATTTTTGAACATGTCGTTTGTTTGTGTGCTGGGTGCACAGGACATGTGCTCATCACGCCACCGAAGGAGCCAGTGGGAGGCGCTCTCTGTGAGGAAAAGGCTCAGGAGAGTGGGGAGTGGAGGGCTGTCCAGGGAATGAGGGAAGGCGTCCACCAGGCAGCGCTGGACCTGGACGGGTGGCTGTGGGGGCTGCGGGAGCAAGTAGAGAGGTGGCCCCCAGCTTCTCCAATGCGCCTCTAGACCACGTGGCAGAAATGCAGGGGGGACCCCAGTCTCCTGGCTGGGAGCTGTCCCTGACAGGGGCTGTCAAACACGAACTGGGACAGGAGGCGACGCCCGACTAGCTCCATGTTACATAGGGATGAACACCCGCCAGTAGCTAACAGGCTGGATTGGATGGGGCCCGGCCGCCTGCAGAGGGCGGGCCCAGAGCCAGCTGAGGCTGAGACCAGGAGGCCACAGGCCCCGCTCCTGCTTCGCACCCAGCCAAGGCCTTTGTCAGTGGCTCTCAGGCCTGGCCTCGGTCCTCTGCACCCACCTGGATGGGCCCGGATGGGCCATTCTTACCTGTGAGATCGACTTCCTCTCTCCGTAGATACTGACCAGATGGAAGGCGGAAGGTCTGCCCCTTGATAAGGCCTTGGGCCAGCAGCTTATGGAAAGGCTCTCTGCGAAAAGAGCAGGAGAAGAAGACTGGTGGGCGAGGTATTCAAAGCAGCCAGAGAACAGCAGTTGGAGAGAGAGGACTGCCCTCTCTGAAAACAGGTAGGCCGAGCACTGCCGCATGTAAACCCACTTGAACAAATGGCTCCTTAGAAATTAGTGGCAAGAGCCCTGGCCGCGGAGCTCAGTTGGTGAGAGCGTCGTCCCAATACGCCAAGGTTGCGGGTGCCATCTCCAGTCAGGGCACATACAAGAAGCAACCCGTGAGAGCGCAAATAAGCGGAACAAGTCCATGTTCTTTTTCTCTCTCTCCTTTTCCTTCCTTCCTCTCTCTCTCAAAATACATAAATAATCAATACATGAAATTAAAATAAATAAGTAAATAAATAAATAAGCGGTAAAAACATTAAGTCAAACCAGCAGGTACTAACTTCTTTTGGAAGGCCTGGATTTGAGCCTCCATTCTGCTTCTCAAGGAATTCTACGAGCCAAGGCAACGCACTCGTTCTCAGCATCAGCGCTTATCGTAAGGGAGGCAGTAGAAATCTGCCTCAAAGGCCGTTGGGGAGATGAAATGGAATGATCGCGTGAAAACACTCGTAAGGTTTCCAGAACCACACGGAAGGGCCAGGAGGACACGGAGGTTCACACGGGCTGTTCGCACAGTTACTCTCCCCTTAACCTTACATTCAGGGCCTGCGTTAGACATTTTTAACTCATACAAATTATACACGAATACACCCTTTCTGTTCATCGAACGTCACCCCCCTCCCCCCCCAGGCCTACTCCCCTCTGAGGAGGCAGTTATTCTTAATAGCTTGGTGAATATCCTGGAAAAGTCTGGAGACTTTTTCCAAAACTTTTTCCATGCAAACCTGTATATACACATATATGGTTGTAGAGACTTCTGGGTGGATTTAAATCGTTGCGGTCACAGTGCACATTACTTTGTGGCATTTCGCTTAACAATACAAATGTCCTTTTTTCCACAGCAGTCCATATAGATCTGTATCACTTTTTATGTTATTTATTTTTGTTAATCCTCACCAGAGGATTTTTTTTTTTTTTAGCGAGAGTGGTAGGGGAGGGGAGAGAGAGAGAGAGAGAGAGAGAGAGAGCTGTGAGAGAGACATATCGCCTCCCGCATGCGCCCTGACCTGGGCAGGGAATCAAGCCTGCAACGAGGCACGTGCCCTTAACTAGGACTCGAACCCGGGACCCTGCAATCTGCTGGCTGATGCTCTAACCACTAAGCGACCGGGGAGGGCATCTAGCTCATATTTAAACACCTATCTCATGTTCTACAATATAGATGGGTTATAATTTATTTACATTGCCTGTTTTCTTTTTCTTAAAAAAATGAGTTTTAGTCACACCCTTACTGGCTGAATAGTAAAATACAAACTTTTTCTCTAAAGAGGACAAGTTGAGGTTGACCCTCTCACTGAATGACTTCATTTCAGATTTAAAATGTTTATTCTGAAGAGTCCACCTAATTCAGCTTTGAGGCACGTGAGCAAGAGCCACTCTAACTCCACGAATGACCCGTGGAGACATGGCCGCTCCCCGGGTCCGTGTTTCACATCCACGAGGACACGGGAGGCTCAGTGGTGTTCCTACGCATGTTGCCGGCAGCCCGTCCTCCCTCTCCACATGCAAACCTTGGGCTTCAAGTTCACCTACACAGAGTGGCTTTTATGTCGAGGTTCAAAAAACCCAGTCACTTCAGAGACGGCGCCGACCACAAACTCTGCTCTAGTGAAGTAGGCGGGGGGCTGGGGGGCTGGCTGTGCTCATGTCACAGGCTCTCACGTGGCCCACAGCCTCTGATGCTCTGATGCCGAGGGGGTCCGCTCCTGACAAGGCCTCTGGACAGGCCCCGGGTCGCACACTGCGCAGCCCCTGTGGCTGCGAGGACAGAGGTGGTTCAAAGGGATTTGGGGGGGGGGGGTGGAGCTAATCAAAGAGACTGAGCAGGAACGAGATGAGGGTCAGCTAGACAAAAAGGACCCCTGGCCTGCGTATTTTAAAACCTTGTTATGAGCAGTGTACGTGTGCACATGCTGCTGCCCGACGCAACTTCCCCGCCCTGCCCGGCGCGGCGGATGCGCTAGCTGCCACCTCGGGCTCCAGTGCTCCTGCGCTAGTTCTCATTGCGAGTCCATGGCTTCAGTCACTCTTAAGAGAGATTTTTAAAAGATGTCTTTGGGGTGGAAGGAGGGAGGGAACAATCTAAATTCCCAAAGATAAAATCAGTAGCATTTAATCCTCAAGAAGGGTAGGCGATGAACGGAACCCGTTCTGTTCTTGCAGTTTATCGAGTGGCACAACGCCGCCACCTTCTGGGAACGAGCAGAATTGCAACCTTCCAGCAGGCGAGCCTAACTCCAGCGGGCGGCCTAATGCTGCACTCCTCAGGCCTCAGAAACGTAAACCTTTCGGGGGTTTTGTTAATCCTCAGCAGAGGATATTTTCCCACTGATTTTTAAAGAGAATGGAAGTGAGGGGGAGGGAGGGAGGGAGGGAAGGAGCGAGCTAGAGAGAGAGAGAGAGAGAGAGAGAGACATCGATGTGAGAGAGACACATCAATTGGTTGCCTCCAGCGAGTGCCCTGACTGGGACCAGGGATTGAGCCTGCAACTATGTCTCCTTGACCGGAATTGAACCCAAAACCCTTCAGTCCACAGGCCAACGCCCTGTCCACTGAGCCAAACTGGCTAGGGCAAAATAATCTTTTACATGCAGTTCAGCACACATACTGAAAGCATATAAACCCTAGGGGTCAAACTTGATGAATTTTCACAACATAAACACACACACTGATGTAACCAGCATCCAGGTCAATGACCAGAATGTGACCAACAACCTTCCAGGGGCACCACCAGCCTGGCTGCTGACACCATCGCTTATTTCTGCCTGTTTCAGAACCTTTTGGAGTGTGGCATCTCAGGCGTGTCCACCCTGGAGGCTGTCCCCAGAACTGGCAGGCGGGACTCAGAAAGCAGGGCAGAAATCAAGGCCTGCTCCTTGCAGGAGTTGGTTTTAATTTCTGAAACACAGGACACAGCTGGTAGCTTAGGCTCGCCAGACCCTCCTCCCCCAGCCGTCCTGGCAGCATCGCCCGGAGCAGGGATGGCGGGACTGCCCAGGGGCCCTGACCCTCCACTTCCCAGACATCCCAGATCCTGGCAGCTCTCCCCGGCTGCCTCAGACTGAGCGTCGAATTCTTCTTAGTACCACCTTCTCAGAAAGCAGAGTCACCATGTGAATTTATGATTTTTATCCAACAGGTGTCTACTGGGTGCCTCCTATGTGTCTGGTGCTGAGCCAGGCCCTGGGGATGTCCTGGTGGTCAAAGCCCCCCGCCCTCAGGGAGCCAGCCCTTGGCTCTCCCTGGACCAAACCACTGTCCGAGCACCCTGAGAGCTGGGGGCGGGGGGCTTTTGCAGGGAGAGGCACACTGATAGATTTCAAACTGTCCACTTCAAGCTCGAAGGAGGAGCAGCAGGAACAAGGGAATGAGAGTGGGAGAGAACCCTGAGTGTTGGCAAGGAATTTCAGTGGGGAAGGTGCTCCCCAGCTCCTGAACAGCTCATTCCCGTGATCCCCACCCTGACTCTTCCAGGGCCCCAGGGGGGCTCCACAGGCCTGTGGGTATCTGGTTCTCATTTTCTTGGCTGAAGCCAGCCACATCCGCCCCCATGTGCAGCTTAGCTCTAAATGAGGACTCACGCTTATTTATTCAACACACATCTGAGCAACAACTGGGTACAGAGCACTCTGCAATTAATCAGAAAGCTCACAGTAAAACGGGCGGCCCGAGACGTGCTCATAAATAACACTTGACACCTTTAGGAGGGCACCAGGTGAGATGCGAGGGGCACGGTGCCTGGGGGTGAGGGTCAAGGGGACGTCAAGGGCCCTGCTGGACCTGGAACAGTCCTGCTGTAGTAGAGATCACACCACACTGCCAAGTTCATTATCAAGATGCACAGCTGGTGTAAGGCACTTCCCATTTGTGCGTTCATTCACTCATTCATCACAGTGACTGTATAGTGGGGGGAGGGGGGTGTTTAAAAGAAAGCAAAAAGCCTGCAATTCTAAACCACCAACAAACCCCTCTGACTGGGGACCATCCAGAGTGGGGGCAGCATGCGGGGCCGCTGCCTTGAGGACGGCCCTCCATGGCTTCATTTCATGAATACACATTTATGCTCCTTGTTCTGAGCGGGCTTCCTCCTTGCTCCTTTCACACCACCGCTGGGGGTGGGCTGCATTGCTTGCACTGCAACACAGCTGTGGGCATGCAGAATGGTGCATCTTTGTGCTTCCTCGACCCTCTGGACTGCGCTAACTCAGAAATTACAGCTGTACCTGCTGGTCATTGAAGGCCCTTTTATCCCACTAAGAAAGGAAGGGAGGGAGGAGAGAAGGAGGGAAGGAAGGAAAGGGAGGGAGGGAGTTGCTAATTAATAGAAGAAATAAGGAATTCAGAGCATAGGTTGATAGGCTCTTTTAAACACCCTTATGCAAATCATTGCGTGCAAGGAATATGCTAAGCAAGATGTGGCTAAGAGGATCCCAGGGCTCATGAGGGCCCTAAGCAGTCACTGTGGATGGCACTGACCTACTTAGAAAGCACTAGAGAGCCTGCTGCCCACCCTTCGGACCAGGTCTGGTGGCTAGCCTGGAGATCTTGGAAAAAGAAAACAGGAAGCCATGGATCTCTGAAAACATTTCCAGCTTAGACTTTCCAGACTAAATTCACCTCCGCCTTGGACCATTATGTTCACAGCATTAGCCAGTTTCGAAGCTTGAAGCCATGGCTCATTCTTAAAACATCACCATTTCTGTTTCCTAGCAGCCAGCCAATAGCTCACAGGGAGACCTTGTTAATACAGGGAGACCCAAGCGAAGCTTCTCTTCTATTCCCTCCCCTCCCTTCTCCCAGGAGCCCGCTCTGGTGTGGTCAGAGGAGCAGGAGAGAGCCCCACGGACCGGGCCTGCTGAGCTCCCAGGGTCAGCAGAGGCTGCTAACAGGGGAGCAGCGAACTGTGACCTCCTGGTTCCTGGGTCAATGCTCAACCACGTAGCCACACCATTCAGGCCTCAAATATAGTTTTAACCCACGGAGAAGAAGTCATGAAAGCAGCCAGGCCTGTCCTATACCTTAAAACAGGTAGCCATCGAATGAGTCACTGATTCAGTTACTTCCACAAAGAGCTGCTCCAAAGCTGGAGCAGCGTGCCCTGCCGTGAGGAGGGAGCCAGAAGTCACTTCAGCCTTTGTGTCTAGACCCGCGCGGGACAGGAGTGCTTCTCCTGCTGCACCGGGCCGTTGTACTTGACCTCCATCCAATTCTCCCTACCCCAAGGAGAGCCCCTCCTTTGAAGAACATACATTTGTATCTGTTTATGTCAAGTGCCCTTGACTGGAATTGAACCCAGGACCCTTTGGTCCGCAGGCCGACGCTCTAGCCACTGAGCCAAACCAGCTAGGGTAGAGCAGAAGAGTTTTATGTGCCGACATGGAAAGATCACTAAGTTATATTATTGAATCAAAAAAAGCAAAAGATATATACAAATAATATATGTAACATGTCAAAATGAGTATATCAATAGGAACACGGAGCTATGCAAAATTGTTTTGGGGAAGAAATCAAATGACACTGTTAGCAAGTTGAGGAGAAGTGTGCAGGGTGGGGTGCAGGGAGGACATTTCATTGTTCTCTTCCTTGTAGCTAAAATATTTTAATCTTAGACATGTATAATTACTTTCTATTGTTAATCAGGGTTATCTGGCTGGGGAGATAATCAGACATTTTCCTACTTTTCTTTGCAATTAAAAAACAGACTAAAGGCCCTGGCCAGGTAGCTTAGTTGGTTAGAGTATTGTCCCAATATGCCAAGGCTGCAGGCTCGATCCCTGGTCAGAGCACATACAAGAATCAACCAATGGATGCATAAATAAGTGGAAAAACACGTTGGTCTCTCTCTCTCTCTAAAATCAATAAATAAAAAATTTAAAAATATTCTAAAAATATTCTAAAAGATGTTGCATTAAAAAAAGGACAAATGAAACATGTAAAACATGGTCATCGAGCTGGCAACTCATAGTTGGACCTTCACTAAAGAACACGAGAGCTATTCTAAAGCATGTGATTTGAAAAAAAGGGACATGACTTCAGATGTTAAGATCAGAGATGCAAGAAGGAAGAGAGAAAAGATATAGCAATTCCAACCACATTCCCATTAGATACTTCTGTGGATCTGAGAAGCTGAATCTGAAATATACACGGAAGAACAAAGGTCCAATCACAGCTAAGATACTCCCAGAGAAAAAGAATAAAGTAGGAGGACTTCCCTTACTGAATATTAAGACTTACAAAATTAAAATAAATCCAGTAAATAACTAGCACAGCAAAAACCAAATAAACCAATGGAAGGAATAAAGATCCTATAATAGGCCCTTGCATATATATGAAAACTTGATTTATGAGGGAGAGGACTCTACCAATCAGGGGGGAAATGGATGCTACTGAGACACTAAAAGCAATGAAAGGTTATTAAAATTTACTACATTAAATTATGAGTTTTTGTTCATCAAAAGACATAAAAATAAGGCAAGCTAAGGACTGGGAAAAAATACTTGCAATTCCTACAGCTGAAAAAGCATTAGCATCCAGAATAACTCAAGAATTTCTACAAACGCCCTAGCTTGCTTGGCTCAGTGGATAGAGCATCAGCCTGTGGACTGAAGGGTCCCAGGTTCGATTCTGGCCAAGGGCACATGCCTGGGTTGTGGGCTTGATCCCCAGTGGGGGGCGTGCAGGAGGCAGCTGATCAATGATTCTCTCTCATCATGGATGTTTCTCTCTCTCTCTCTCTCTCCTTTTCCCTTCCTCTCTGAAATCAATAAATATTTTTTTTAAAAGAATTCCTACAAACAATAGAACACTACCCAGAAGAAATATGGGCAGCCGGGCCAGCGTGGCTCAGTGGTTGAGCATCGACCTATGAACAGGAGGTCACAGTTCTATCTGATCAGGGCACATGCCCGCCCGGTTTGCAGGCTCAATCCCCAGTAGGGGGCGTGCAGGAGGCAGCGATCGATGATTCTCACTCATTGTTGATGTTTCTGTCTCTCTCTCCCTTCCTCTCTGAAATCAATAAAAGTATATTAAAAAAAGAAATACGAGCAAAGGACACAATCAAGGATCCACTGTAAGAGGACACACAGAGGACCATAAACATTAAAAACATGCCAAACTTCAGTAAGTCAGCAGTGTTGCTAACGCAATCCTAACTCACAGAGCAATCCATTCTACAACCACCAGCTTTTCAAAATGTAAAGCTGTTGTCATGATGAAGACATAGAGAGAGCAACAGGAGCCCTCACCTCTGCTGTGAGAGGGTAGGTTTATGTAACCAACATGGTGCTCCTGAGTCAAGCTGAACATGTGCAAACCCCACAATCGGCAGCTCTGCTCTTAGGGACACACCCCAGAGAACCGCTGACACCTGGGCCAGGAGTCACATACAAGAATGCTCACAGCAGTTTTGTTCAGAACTGCACAAAACAGTCCAGCGACCACTACTGGGGGTTTGGGCACGTACACCGAGCTCTGCATTAGAATCCATTCCCTGTAACAGACACCACAGTGTGGGAGAGGAACGCTACAACTCTGTGCAGCACCGTGGATGAACCCAGGAGTGTTGAGCAAGGAAAGCAGGACAGAGCACCTGAAATAAGATCCTACTCAAACACAGAAAACTAAACAGTGCATATTGTTGAAATACACACACACACACACACACACACACACACAGAGGTGATACATTTTTAAAGAAAAGTAAGAGAGTGAATAATTCAAGATTCAGGGCAGGGGTTTGCTGGGCGAGGGGTGGTGGTGGAGGAAGAGGGATGTTAGGATTGGAGAGGGCACCCCGGGGACTCCAAGGAACCTCTCACATTGTTTCTTAAACTGAGAAGGGGGTGCACGGCACTTCATTGTATGCTTTAAGCTGTTCAGTACATTAAATACATGTAATATGTATGATATACTTCATGGGGAAAAGCATACGCACATCTTTCTGAACATCCTAGGGACTTGATCACAGGCCAACAGGAAGAGAATTTATCAATGGATTTACAATGTGATTCCCTAGCCTTTAACCCGTTATATATTTTTATCAGAGTGATATATTGAGGCAGGATTCAGTCCAGCTTGGAAACAGAGCTTGTACCGAGGGGCCAGAAGATAAATATGACCGAACATGAGAAGCGACAAAAAGCTGTAGTGAAACATCATAAACCGCTCTTCTCTGCCTCTCAAGTAAAAAAATCTCAATTGCTTAACTCCATCCGACAGAGAAGGGCGAAGGCAAGATCTGATGGGAACATGCGGTACCACCTCCTACAACAATTAAGCAACAGAAACGCACTTCCAATGGTTCAGGCTGACCTTGACCACGAAAATGGACTCGAAAAACAGAATTCTTCTGTGACATTTACTGGCTTCAGTACGGGCGCCTGCGTTAAGTTGCTGTTCATGGTGCTGAATTCTTTTGCAAAGCGGCCTAATTGCTCACCTGTGCTTGACCATTTTTTGATCGTGGCAGAAATGACTGAAGAATCTCGCGTAGAACAAGTGCATGACGGCGTGCTCTTTCCCCCCAATGTACAGATCCACGGGCATCCAGTAGTCGGCCAGCGCTGGGCTGAAAGGACTGGGAGAAAGAGAAATGGCCATTTTTTAAAAACCTGCTCTGCCACAGTTGGGCTGTAATTTGCATATGCCCTGAAATAAATTATGTCAGAGAAAAACACTGATTTCCTTTTTAAAATATAATAAGAGAGCCCGGCCAGCAATGCTCAGTGGTTGAGCGTGGAGGTCACTGTTCGATTCCCATCAGGGCACATGCCCGGGTGGCGGCTCGATCCCCAGTGTGGAGCATGCAGGAGGCAGCCAATCGATGATTCTCTCTCTTCACTGATGTTTCTATCTCTCTCTCCCTCTCCCTTCCGCTCTGAAATCAATAAAAAGTAAATAAATACATATACATATATATAAAGAGAAAACCTTATATAACGAAGGAGAAAAAAGTCAGATCAGTGTTCATTTGTAAAATTTATAAAAACTGTTTCAGAAGCCATTACTGACATATTTTAACAAATGCAATTTTCATATAAAATGAGGACAAGAGGAAAATATACAAGCAAAAAAAGGGGGTTATTGCATATTTGAATATCTAAATTTATTTTAATTTTTATTATAGAAAATTGAGATTTTTATGTTCTTACCAACAGGGGGCAATGTAGCATTTACAATGGAGATTACCATACAGACACTAAATGTTCATTTTAAAACAGAAATTCAGTCTTATTTTTTAAATGCAGACAGCAAAAGCTTGTATTTGACTCCTGGATGCAGTGAGCAAACTTAGGGTACCAGTCAGAAAAGAGCCCACAACTCCCTGTCACCTAACTGGGTCTTCAGTCTATAGAGCTCCTAAAAGGAAGGCTTCCTCATACTCCCGGTCCTCAGGGATGCTGGGAGGAGAACCACTTCCTATGATGACTCTTGGAGGTGTGTGTGTGAGTGTGCAGAGGTGTGTGTGACAGTGTGCAGAGGTGCGTGACTGTGAGCAGGTGTGTGTATGTGTGTGCAGATGTGTGTGTGAGCAGGTGTGTGTATGTGTGTGCAGAGGTGTGTGTGAGTGTGCAGAAGTGTGTGTGCGTGCAGAGGTGTCTGTGTGTGCAGATATGTGTGTGTGTGTGTGCAAAGGTGTGTGTGTGCAGAGGTATGTGTGTGTGTGCACATGTGTTGGGGGGCAGTGCTGGCTGGGGACAGACCTCTTCATTCCCAGGGACTGCCCTCACGGAGGCCATCAATGCAGTACACAGCATACTTCTGCCTTTGCAGGAGGTGTACTCCATGATTTCAAGTATCTGAGTTCTCTCCCCCACGCCTCTCCCCGCAGCGTGGACTCGGCTGGCGCTGGCTCCTGTTGCTAAGCAGGTGAGCCTGTCCAACCACCACGCGTTAGCATCTTACTGCAGTGACTCCTCCAGTCACTCTGCCAGAATTCTAGTAAAATTTAAAAAAATGTTTTTCTTTGTGAAAAATGGTTCCCCAGAGAAATCCAACTGCTGCTCCAGGTGATAGACGAGAAAGGGGAGTCGGGATGGTACTTAGCCTCAAACGAGTTTGGGATCAACTAAGGACTGAGGTGCTGAAAGCAGCTACAGCTCGGATCTGTGATCTTCCCGAAACCACCAAGTGAGGCCGAAGCCGGTGCTGAAATGAGCGGCCGACGTTGGGAAGGAAATGAGCTCCTGGCATCCCAGATGGGGGCTGTGAGGGCCCAGGACTGCCTTTCTCCTCCGGGCAGGAGGGTCCCACCGCTGTCATCTACAGTCTCCCTCATCTGTGAGAAGCTGCTCCCTGCAGCTCTGAGAGGTGCACAGCCTGCGTCCCACATCAGCTGGCTGTTACCAGGTGGGTGCACCACAGTGCCTTCTAGAAGGAAGACCCAGGAGAGGGCCCCTCCGTGGGTAACCTGGAGCAGCAGGTTCCCAGCCTCAGCAGTCACCCCGCACCCTTTCTGTCTTTGCTGGTTACTCTGGGCCCCCCTCACCTGGCCTGGCCTGAATCAAAGCCAGAATTGCAATACTGTCGGGCGGGGCGGGGAGCGCAGGGGCGACCGTCTCACTGGAATATTATAAAAAGGGGCCTTTCTATACATGGGCTATGGGTTTCAGAGTCATTGTTCTGCAGACAAGAGCAAGCTGGCAAGGCCTCTGAGCACAGTTTTTTTGTAGTTTTTCCTGTGCTCAGTGATTGCTTTCTTTTGTTTTCATTCTCTCTCTACTTATCCACCTCCTGCGCTCTTTCCCTCATTTATCTGCTTTTTCAAGGGAACACAGGCACACAGATAAAAAGCAAACAGCACCAAAGGGTTTGACATTCAGAGCAGCGCTCTCCGGCCCCATCCCTTCACTGACCCCTCTCCCCGCACACCCGCCCATTCCTCAGCCACGTTTGCTCCCTTAGCTGTTTCTTCTGGCAATTATTAAAAATATGTGCATACTCTTCGTTGATTTATCAGTTTTAGATTTTAATCGTTGACAGTGTGTGATAAGAGCTGGTGTTTCTTAGCTCTCATACTCCCTCCCTCCTATCCTCCCTGCATAGTTCCATCATTATTTTCAGTCGAGTAAATGACATTAGAGCTTTATAATTGCATAAATGCAGGCCAGTGCGGGGCCAAGGGGGCACGCCTCCAGCACTTCCTTCCTTCCTCTGTGCTTTATCTTTCCTGTACTTGGGACTAACTTGGCCACAAAGAATCTAATTCAATCATCTAACAGGCTCCCTTGACAAGATCTGCTTCAAGGAGCAGAGTGACCAACAGCTCCCAGCAGTTCCATCTGTAAATCCACTCGGGCCCGGCTGGCGTGGCTCAGTGGCTAAGCGTGGACCTATGAACCAGGAGGTCACAGTTCGATTCCCGCTTAGGACACATGCCCAGGTTGCAGGCTCGATCCCAGGTGTGGGGTGTGCAGGAGGCAGCCAATCAATGATTCTCGCTCATCACTGATGTTTGTATCTCTCTCTCCCTCTCCCTTCCTCTCTGAAATCAATAAAAAAAATACATATGTAAAAAAAAATAAATCCACTTGGTGTCCATGCTGTGCCAGGACCAGGACAGAGTCCTCTCTGCCTGACCTGGGACTCTCCAATGGGCAAGCTTTGCACGAGGCATCCTGTTGGCCTGGCCGAGACCTCCTCAGAGCTGCACTGTGGTCTGAGGCTCTTCCTACCCGTCCCTACTTCCCTGGGTCCCTTCCCAGGTGTGGGACCAGCTCCAGGGTCAAAGGGCGCTCCCTGCGACTCCTGCTCCCTCGCCCTTCACTCCTCATAGGCACTTCCCCCAAGCAGTGTCCTGCACATCGAATCCATGTGGCTGTGCTTCTGGAAGACCCTGGCGGACACGTGCGAGTCGGGCAGGGCTTACCTGTGCGTGTTCCGAGGGTCGGTGTATCTGAAGTAGTACCAGGCGGAATCCACAAAGGTGTCCATCGTGTCTGTCTCTCTCTTGGCTGCGCCCTTGCACCTAGGAAATAAGTGAAGTCCGTCCATTGGTTTCTTTAAATATTAATGCAGTGCTCCACCAGCTTTGAGAAAGTGTGGTAATGAGGAGGAATGTGAAATGCCCTAAGGACAAGGCGCATCAGGGAAGGACCATTCGGAGAAAGCTCTTTTGTACTGTACCCTCCATGTTTTAAAGAAATTCTCGGAATAAGAACTTCAGTCTTTAACAATTAAAAGCCTTATTCTCCACTTCTCCGATGGAACCTGGTAGAAAATCTAACAACCTAAAGGGACAGGACAAGAGTAAGTGTCTTTCTTGCGCATTAACTTCTATCTCAGGCGCGTCAACACTGCCTCTAGCCAAGCCTCCTTTATGATGCTTCAGAGGCAAATCAATTCACGAAGAGAAGTTGAAAACCAAATGCAGCCAGACGCTGCACTGGAAAATGAACTTACTTAAAAACATTTGCTCTAGGGGGCAGGGTGCAGAAGCCCCCTGGGTGACCCTGGAAAATGAATCACCTTGAAGCCTGAAGGCAGAGACCACCACAGCGCCCTCAAACCAGCTGGTGAGAAGCAGCCATGAGCACCTCCTTCCAGCTGTGCAACAAGTGGTCGACAGGGGAGCCTGAAGTCAGCCCTGGGTGGGAGTGCCTACACCACAGAATCCGCAGCCCTGCAAACCGGAAGCCCCTCCAGAGGGCTACTTAGTACACATTTACCCACATCCGCTGCCTAAACACGGGCTCCTAACAGGAGGGTGAAGACAGACCTGCTGTTCAAGAAAATCAATGGAGAAGATTTGAAAAGAAAAAGCAACCCTCGCTCTAGGGATGCAGATGCCGGGGACGGAGGTTCCACCAGGGCCCAGCTGCTGAGCCAAGTGTGAAGCACGTCCCCAGGGTGCTGGGCCTGGGGAGTGAAGGAACTGGTGCCACAGCCACATCTTCCAGGGACCCAGGAGAGGGTGCCCTCAGTCACGCCTCGCCTAGGAGGGGCTCAGCTCCCTTGAGGACCCACTAGGCCTGGACCAGCCATGGATCGGGTGAGTCAGCTGTTAACAGTGAAAAGCCACAGGGGAGGGGGAGGACACGGCCCGGACTCCACACTCGCCCTTTTGAGGCACAGAAGCAGGGCCAACCATCCCTCCGATGCTGCCGTGGGCAGTCTATGTCCTTGGGGGTTCTTGGAGGAAAAGGAAAGGCATGAGGAGCCCCAGGAAGAAGCGATGAAACTTCTGCTCATTTGGCATGCAAGGGCTCGAGTCTGTTTTTAATCTTCAAATAAAAGAAGGGTTGCATTCATATCTCGCACCTGTGAAGCAGTTCATACCGGCTTTACAAATATTACCCTATTACCGAGGGAAACAGCCACTCCCACCTCCCACTTGTTAAATGGAAGTGGCTGAGCAGAGACAGGAGCCTCAGATATTGGGGTGTCTCTCGGGGGACCCCCCCAGGGACCTCCTGCATTTTAGTCAGGGGGCTCCCACTGAGAACAGTGGTGGCCCCTGCGGGTAGGAGCTTATCAGAGAGACCCCGGGAATCCTGTTTCCCACCACCCTGTGCTGCCCTAAGACACCCGCTCAACAGTGCGTCTCTAAGGTAGCGCCAGCCTTTTTACTTGGAGAGCTATCGGCTGAACACAGAGACCATTTCGGGAAACAGTTGGGAGACACACGTTACTTCGTCTCCCTCACCATTAGTGCCCTACAAGGCAGGAGGAAAACGCAGGATTCAGCTGGGAAAAGGAGTGACCTCTGGCTGCGCTGGTTTCCTTTTCAGTGGTCATGCTGGACCCACAGACAAGCAACACGTTTTCCTAAGTGGGAGGGATAGACGATGGTGACATCATCATGACTAGCTCCAACAGTGATAACACTAACACTGGGTAGCAGGCCCTGACCCTGCTCACAGGCAGGATCCCACTTGATCCCCAGTAACCCTGGGGCTACGAGGCAGATACTACTCATGGCCCCATTTTGCAGATGAGTAAATAACTAGGGCTCAGAGAGGTTAGGAAATCCTCCCAAGGTCTCGGAGCTCAGGGGTAAGGACGCCACGTCTGTTGGGCTCTGCTGCCTGCGGTCCTCACCACCGCGCTGCCCGCTTGGCCACGCTGGCCCGGAGGCTCTCAGCCCTGGTGCTCAGCAGAACCACCGGGGAGCCTTGACCAATACCAAGGCCTGGCTCTGCCCTCCAGGAACCTGCCTCCAGGTCGGAAACCTCATTCCTGACAGTGAGGCCCTGACTTTGGTGAATGAGCCCTGAGGGCCACCCGCTTTCCAGAAGACAAGACCTTTGTCACTACTCACCAACAAAGAGGGTGCACTAATTTCCTCCCACGCCCACGCTTCTACCCCCAAATGGTCCAGAGCTTCCTACACTCCTTCCCACAAGCCCCTCTCACGTCTCCAGGCTGCCGTGTGGGGCCCTCGGAGGACTGCGGGCTGGGTGGATGGGAATATGGTGCCAACACTTCTATTTATTGAATGTAGGTGCCACCGAGAACAGCCCTTCTGAACAGCCCTTCAGGGGGATTATTTAATTCCTGATAAAGAAATCAAAGCTCAGAGAAATCAAAGGACGTTCCCAAGGCCACACAGCCAGACTGGAATCTATTACTGTCTGACTCCCAGGCCTGGAACGTGGTTACCTAATTATCAACCTTGTAACTCAGCTCTGTGCTGGCAGAGGACTAGGTTATTTCAAAAACACTCTGGTCGTGATTTCTCTAAAAAAAGAAAAAGGGCTTTTCCACAGAAGGAAGAAGGAAGACACGGGAACTTGGTATCGATTATTTGTTTACGTAATGAGCTGATAAGGCATCATCAACATTACACTTGAGATAGGCCAGTGAGCTGACAGAAAAACACAGTCCCACTCGCAAAATGAGGAGAAGGGAAAGGGGCAGGTTTCAGTACCCCAGAGCGCGAACCCCGAGCAGGGTGGCTGCCGTAGCCTCTCCTCGGCTCCTGGTGATAAAACCTCCCCGTTGTCGGTCACTGGGTGGGAAACCACTTCCTCTCACCTGCAGAAGCTCTTTGGGATGTAAATGAAAGAGACTGGGCCTCTGCAACCCTACTGGACCAGATGCTTCTGGGGAAGATGTGGATGGACATGACTCTCCCCCATCCCTGCGGCTGGGCCCAGACTCCAGCCCCTTCTCTCAAAGGTCCCAAAAGTCCCTACCGGCTTGGCTCAGTGGATAGAGTGTCAGCCTGCGGACTGAAGGGTCCCTGGTTCAATTCTGGCCAAGGGCACATGCCCAGGTTGCGGGCTCGATCCCCAGTGGGGGGTGTGCAGGAGGCAGCCAGTCAGTGATTCTCTCTCATCATTGATGTTTCTATCTCTCTCTCCCTTTCCCTTCCTCTCTGATGTCAATACATTTTTTTTAAAAGGTCCCAAAAGACCTACGTTATTCTACCAGCCCAGTGGGAGTCCCAGAAGGGAGCAGTTAGCCCCAGAGAAAAGGGAGTCTGAAACCCCAGCAGGGCGCTGGGGCCACAGTCAGTCTCAGCTGGGGCACGTGGTTGCTTACCTGGGGCAGGGGCAGTTCACCCACTCCGACGCGGTGGCCAGTGGGGAGCCTCCCTTGCCAGTGAAAGATGTGATGCTGGGCAAGGTCACAGGCAGGTCCTCCAGCGGCACGGGCACGGGGCCACAGGCCGGGCAGTGGACCATGGGGATGGGGGTGCCCCAGTACCGCTGCCTGGAGATCAGCCAGTCCTTCAGTTTACCACTCGTCACGTCTCCACCCACTCCCTTCCTCCGGGCTTTCTCAGTCAGCGCGAGAAACGCATCCTGCCGGCTCATACCTGTGAACTGAGAGGGAAAGAAGGGGTCCGTTCCTCCCTGCGCAAGAACAAGCATCGTGCCCGACTGGCATGGCTCAGTGGTTGAGTGTCGAGCTATGAACCAGGAGGTCACGGTTCGAATTCCTGGTCAGAGCACATGCCCGGGATGGGGGCTCGATCCCCAGTGTGGGGCGTGCAGGAGGCAGCCGATCAGTGATTCTCTCTCATCATTGATGTTTCTCTCTCTCTCTCCCTCTCCCTTCCTCTCTGAAATGAAGAAATACACACACACACACACACACACACACACACACACACACCAGTATATATATGAAGAACAAGCGCCGCCCGTGCCACCACCAGGACTGCCGGGTTTCTGTGGGCTCTGTGCACTATGACCTTTGTGAGCCCTGGTGCCTTTGCCCTTGTGGGCCCCTTCCTCCCGAAGATCATACCAAAAAATTATATTTTATGACTGTGTGGAATAAAAATAAATATAATTTTTACCCTAAAAGTTCACTTTTTTTCTTCTGATTTTAAAAGAAAACCTTTGGGGGGCCCTAGGCTGCATCCACGGGGCCATCTGATGGGTAAGTGGCCCTGGCTCCGGGCCTCCCCGGACACCCGCTGCCGAGATCATCACACACCAGCACGCAGCTGCCGGTCAAGAACGGCATCACATGCTTTTGTAATGACTGCTCCTCTGTTGGGGGGAAAAGGCATTCAGAAGAGAAAAATGCAGTATTGCCCCAAAGCAGGAGTGCAGCCAAGCAGGGAAGGGATGGGCCCAGCTTGAGAACCAGAAGCACCTTTTGTGCCTAAACGTTTCCATTTTGTAGACACAGGGCAGAGCCCGGACAGCAGAAAAGAGGAACTCTCTTTCACCTGACGCCTTTCCGAGAAGAAAGGAATGAGGAGAACCGGCCCTGTGGGGTGCCCTGGAATCGGATAAGGCCTGTGCTCGGCACTGGGGGCACC